TAATTGGGATGGGAGAAGGGGTCACTTTAAAGTGTGAGTTGTTACAAAGTTGAGACCTCACCAACCATAGCCCAGATCCTCCAAAACATGTAGACAAAAATAAGAAAGCAGTTAAAATATTCTTTAAAAAATATATATATATATTTTATTGATTTTATACAGAGAGGAAGGGAGAGAGATAGAGAGTTAGAAACATCGATGAGAGTCATCGATCAGCTGCCTCTTGCACGCCTCCCACTGGGGATATGCCCGCAACCAAGGTACATGCCCTTGACCAGAATCAAACCCGGGACCCCTCAGTCCCCAAGCCGATGCTCTATCCATTGAGCCAAACTGGTCTCGGCTAAAATATTCTTAAGAACAGGACCCTTCAGATATAGAAGCAAAGAAAATGAGGGAGTGAGAGCGAGAGCTAGTTGTAGACCAGGGGACCCCAGGAGGAAGGCCAGACACTCAGAAATTCTTTGTTGGGATCTGCAAGGGAACTTGGTTGTAATCTGTTTGAATGGTTTGCTGAGATAGTTTATTTTCATCACCCCAAAGCTGTACCCCTCAGTCTGGGTTGAAAGGTACTTTGGAGGAAAATTGCCAAGGGAGAGCAGAGTGTAATAGCAGGAGGCAAGATGTGCACTAGCGTGAGAGTTCAGTGGACAACAGAAAGCAGGGTGAGGTGAATGCGAGGACTTAGAATCCACAGAATAGCAGGGGAAAGTGCTGGATTTCCCACAGTATGGCTCTGTCTTCTGTGTTCTACTATTAAAGAAAAGTGTAATCTTTAGAGTAGACAATTTGGGGAAACTCAGAAAGGAGACATCTAAGTGAGGAAAGTAATCCCTTTTGTCAAGCCAGCTGTTGAAATTCAATTTATTTTGTTAGAGTTTTTTTTATTAAAAATATGTTTTTATTGATTTCAGAGAGAAGGAAAGGGAGAGATAGAAACATCAATGATGAGATGGAATTATCTATCTGCTGTCTCCTGCATGCTCCCTACTGGGGATCGAGCCCACAACCCCTGACTGTGAATCAAACTGTGACCTCCTGGTTCATGAGTTGACACTCAACAGCTGAGCCACAACAGCTGGGCTGTTACAGTTTTATTAATTAAAAAATTTAATACTAAATATTGATCACTGATTTTGTATATCCTTGTATACTTTCCACCGAACTGCTCATATTGATATTTGCAAACTATTGGCTATATATCATTCTTATCTGAATAGTTGATAGGGGGAAAGAGTCAATTTCCCATTATCCATAATTAGACTATTCAATTCATACTTTCATCAATTTAAAATATGCTTAGTCCATTTTCAGGAGGGAAGATGATATAGCCTAGTGGGCAAATGGGCTTTGAAGCCAGAGTCCTGGATCCATTCCTAGCACATTAGTTGTGAACCTTGGCCAAGTTACATACTTTTCTGAGCTGGGGCTTATAGAGCCCTTCCCTCACAGGGTTGTTGCAAGGATTAAGTAAATATTGGCATCATCCATCTACCTTCTAGCCTATATTGTCCTTCTCTATTACCACACTTTAGTTTACTACTAATTTGAAAATACATTAAAAATTATGGTTCAAAAGCGAAATAGAAATAATCCTAATAATACAAGTCTGATTGAACTGCTGACCTGCTCTATGCAGTATTTCATATTTGTCACTCTTCTGCTCTGTTACCATGGCTCAGCCAGAGTCGATAACATTGCTAAAGACTTCCAAAGACTAAAATGTTGCTTTGAGAGGACGAGAGAGAAAATCTGCTTTTATTCTCAAAAATTGCCAGTTATTTCTTGTGTGTTTAATGTGTGGGTTGAAGTTCTGTCATGATCTGCAAAATATAGTGTATAGTTTTGGCATAATGAATCAGAAGACACTGCATGTGAAAATGTACATCTCAGCCTGAATGTTCCTAACTGGGGCAGAGGTGTAATCAGTGAGAGGTTGAATGAAGCATTCAGTGGCACAGTGGCCTGGTTTACGGAGTAGATTCCAGAAGAGGGATTATAATTTCACTGTAACAGATCCCCAGTCTGAAATAGATGAGCTCTGGTTTTTGGCTAGGAAAAATAAGTTAAACATAGTACAACCAGTGTTTTAAAAATTTCCACAAAGCTTTGCACTACTGAACAGTTTCTCTGCCTTGGGACTGCAGGTTTTGTTGTGATGGTGGTTTGATGTCTCTTCTGGTGGCTGATCGTGATGATAAAACAGTATTGGTTTGCATATGGCTTGACCATACTGGGAAAAAATGGTACATGAATGTAGACATGCCCTTTTAAGGTTGCTTAGCTTAAGTATGATAAACAAGATCAAGAGGGATGCTACTGATTGATTTTGAGGCAAGGAAATAGATGTTAGATCAGATAGAGTGTTCTGCCAGGTTGTCATGTTATCTGTTTGCTAATGTCCAGGCAGGAAAGGCTCATGGTTGGCATAGGAGATCAGGTTGTAGGGCAGTCCTCAGTCATGGCCGAGGTGTCACCCAGGCCTGGGAGGCCATACAAACTGCCCAAGTCCTGGAACTGTGGTACGAGGTGGAAATGTGGTTAGAGGACTAGAGTCAGAATCACTTGAGCTACTTCAGTAGGCGTATCTTATATTTTTCCAAGGTAAAGGCAGGACTGTTCTTAGAGCATAGGGCAAGGCTGAGATGAGAGGAAGATTCTAATACCAGAAAGAGGTGAAAGAGGATGGGCAATGGGAACAACAGGAGTTTCAGCATTTTTCAGGAGAGTTTTCTGACATGAGCATATTTTTTTAAAGGTATTTTTTTTCAAGTAATATATTTATACAAACTATGCCTACGTCACATAGCAGCTGCCTATTTCATTATCCTCACCCTTGAGTCTCACTCACAGAAGGTATTACTTTGACATTTAACTTTATATTTCTAAATAACATGCTTATAATGTAATTTTTTATATTTTTTCCAATGTTAGACATAATCTGGAGTCTTTCTCCTGGGGAAGATTAGCATTCTCTTATATTTTCAACCCAACTTTTCCTCTTCCCTCATCCATGGATGCTTCTTTGTTTTCAAATAGTTGCGTTTTTAAAATCAATTAAGTTTTTACATTATATAATGTAAATTATATTTATTTGGTTATGCCTTCATGTACCATGATTCCTACTTTTTTTATTATTATTATTATTGTTTAAAGTATTACATATGTCTCTTTTTCCCCCCATCGACCCCTCTCCAACCACGCCTACCCCCCAGGACAAGCCCCCACAGCCTCAGTGTCCGTGTCCATTGGTTATGGTCATATGCACGCATACAAGTCCTTTGATTGATTTCTTACCCATCCTCCCCTGCCTTTCCTCCGAGGTTTGATGGTCTGTTCCGTGTTTCTCTGTCTCTGGGTCTATTTTTGTTCACCAGTTTATGTTGTTCATTATATTCCACAAATGAGTGAAATCACTTGACACTTATTTTTCTCCAACTAGCTTATTTCGCTTAGCATAATGCTCTCCAGGTCCATTTATGCTGTTGCAAATGGTAAAAGTTCCTTCTTTTTTTTATTTTTTTTATTTTATTATAGTGGCATAGTATTCCATTGTGTAGATGTACCACAGTTTTTAATCCACTCATCTGCTGATGGGCACGTAGGCTGTTTCCAAATCTTAGTTATTGTAGATTGTGCTGCTATGAACATAGGGGTGCATGTATCCTTTCTTGTTGATGTTTCTGATTTCTCCATGATTGTTTTTGCTTCCTATAAAACATTTAGTGTTTTCTGGAATTGATCCCCCCAGCATAGTAGTAACATCTATATTGCCTGACAGAATTGTAAAACTTAATATAAAACTCATAAGATTGTGTTTCCTTTTTCACCTTGCGAGATATTCTCCAACTCTGCCTCATAGGTATGCTACATAGCTATCTTGGAAATGATCTTTACCTCGCCTGTGTAAAATTCTTTTTTTTTTTTAAGTTGAATTTATTGAGGTGACATTGGTTTGCAAACCATGCAGATTTCAAGTGTACAACTCAATAAAACACCATCTGCACACTGCATGGTGTGCCCACTGCCCCAAGCAAGATCTCTTTCTGTCCCATTTTCCCCTTCTTTGTCCACCTCCACCTAGTCCCCACCCTCCTTTCCCTGTGGCTATCGCCACACTGTTGTCTGTGTCTATTATATCCTAGAGGTCCGGTGCACGAAATTCTTGCATGGGGAGCGGGGAGAGTCCCTCAGCCTGGCCTGCACCCTCTCCAATCCGGAACCCCTCGGGGGATGTCCGACTGCCTCTCACAATCCGGGACTACTAGCTCCTAACTTCTTGCCCGCCTGCCTGCCTGATGGCCCCTGACCACCTCTGCCTGCCTGATGGCCCCTAACCACCTCTGCCTGCCTGATGGCCCCTGACCACCTCTGCCTGCCTGATGGGCCCTAACCACCTCTGCCTGCCTGATGGCCCCTGACCACCTCTGCCTGCCTGATGGCCCCTAACCACCTCTGCCTGCCTGCCTGATCATCCCTAAGTGCTCCCCTACCAGCCTGATTGCCTCTAACTATTCCCTTGCTGGCCTGATTGTCCCTAACTGCCTCTGCCTGCCTTGCCCCACACCCAGAACCCAGAATTCCCCCCTCAGGCCAGTCACAGGCACCCGGAACCTGGGCTTTCCTCCCTCTGGCCGGCTGCAGGGGACCGTGGAGGGGCCGCTTTGCCTGGGCCACAGCCACAGGTGCTGGTGCCTGGGACCGTGGGGCAGGCAGCTTGTCTCTCTCCCGGGCCACAGCCTGGCTGGTCCCCAGTCCTCTCTCCCCAGTGTTGAGTGTCTGAGTCATTAGGGAGTGACCGCAAGATGCCATTTACATATTAGCTCTTTATTATATAGCTAATTTCCCTCCCCCCAATCCCTTTACCTTTCATCCAGTGCCCCCTCCCCTCTGACAGCTATCAGTTTGTTCCATGTATCCATGCCTGTATTTATATTTTTTAAAACCTAATTCTTGTTTCTGGGCTGTACATTTTCCTCCTTTGGTTTGGTCTCTTTCAGAGCAAATTGGAGCGTTGGCAGATCAGCATATTGTCCATGTGGCATGTGGCGAGTCCCACAGCCTGGCTCTCAGTGACCGGGGCCAGCTGTTTTCTTGGGGTGCAGGGAGTGATGGTCAGCTGGGACTCATGACTACTGAGGACTCAGTGGCAGTGCCCAGGTAAGAACGTCATGGAAAGGAACCTGAGTTTTCAAATGTCAATTGTTGTGAATAGTATTTCCGGAGTTGCTTTGTTAGACATCTTGTTTTAGTTTCTGCTTTCTTCATTTAATTGCTTCTCCCTCGTGCCACTGCTGTACCTTATATTGTTATAGAACTTGTCATAAAAATTGTAATTATTTACAGAAGTGTGTATCTCAGGTTAAAAAATGTGAGTAGTTGGGAATGTACTCTATTTATTCTAGTAGCCTAATTGCTAACAGTGCTTGGAACTCGATACATTTTTTGAATTTAAAAAAAGCATCTTTTCAAGTAACTTTTCACATAATATTGCAAATCAAATACTCAATTAAGCACCTTAAGCTAGAGTCACAAGGCTGACCTGTTAATCTAATAATAGGCCAAATTACCCAAGCATTAAGAACAGCTAAAATACTAAATATGTATAAGCTGTTTAATACAATTATATTAATACAGTGGTTTTGAGTCTCTTAAATATTTACTTCTAAATCTTAGATGATTTAGCTAAATATCTAACAGACATTTCACCACTAAAAAATAATACAAAATATTGAAGTTACTTTCAAGTGGACTTTTTATGGGTGATATGCTGGCTCGTTGAGGGTTTTTTGTTTTTTTTTAAAATATGTTTTTATTGACTTTAGAGAGAGAGAAAAGGAGAGGGAGAAAGAGTTAGAAACATCAATGCATCAACAATCATCGGCTGCCTTCTGCTAGGGATTGAGCCTGCAACCTGGGCATGTGTCCTCACTGGGAATTAAACTAGTGACCTGTTGGTACATGGGTCGAAGCTCAACCACTGAGCCACACCGGCCGGGCTGTTGAGGGTTCTTAATGATCAAAGAGGCCACCAGTTTATGTCCACCATTTAATTCCGGTTCCTTTATACAAATGTACACATACCCCTTTTGGAGTACTTGTCAGGTTCTTTGTAATTATTTATTCAATGACTATTTCTATTACAAAACTGGGAGCTCTTGATGGCAGGAGACCTGGAGTGTCACTTTAGCACCACCTTTACTTTTTTATTTAATTATTTTTTTATTAATATATTTTATTGATTTTTTTTTCAGAGAGAAAGGGAGAGGGATAGTTAGAAACATTGATGAGAGAGAATCATCAATCAGCTGCCTCTTGCACATCCCCACTGGGGATGTGCCCGCAACCAAGGTACATGCCCTTCACCGGAATCGAACCCGGGACCTTTCAGTCTGCAGGCCGATGCTCTATCCACTGAGCCAAACCGGTTTTGGCAAGCACCACTTTTCTCACGGGTGCCTAGCACCTCCATTGCTCAGCACAAAACTCTTTAATAAATGGCCTCTCTTCGGACCTTGCCCAGTTATTGCCCCCTTTAAAGGACAACATATTCCTTCTTTCTTTTTGCCCCTTTTAGATTTTTGTCTTTTTAATCAAAAGCTGTTTTAAGGAAAAGAGGAACATGGAGGTAAGAATGATTTGATTCACTTCCTGATTTAGAATAGGTAATGTCACAGATTCATTACTTCCAAAAATTAATTTAATTTTGGAGGAAGAGGGAGAGTGATATAAGAAAAAAAGGGTGCTATATTTTAATGAAGTTGTGGAAAAGACAACATTAATAACAAAAGTATTTCATTTGTTGATGATAAAGAATCAAAGGCTTTATAACTCAAGTAAAATAAATTTATTAATAACAGTATTGTGGAAAGTAACATAGCTTTGAAGTCAAATAGCCTCAGATACTAATACTGGCTCTATTATTTATTAGAGGAATGACCTTGGCAAATCAACTTTCCTAAGCTTCAATTTCTTAAATGTAGTTAGGTATTGTGAACCTTTACAGATTTATTAGGAGGATAGATGAGATGAGTAGATAAAACACAATAGCCCGGCCAGCATTGCTTAGTGGTTGAGTGTTGACCTGTGAACCAGGAGGTCATGGTTCGATTCCCAGTCAGGACATGCCTGGCTTGCGGGCTCGATTTCCTATGGGTGGTGTGCAGGAGACAGCCAATCAATATTCTTTCTTACCATTGACGTTTCTGTCTCTCTCTCTTTATATATGTCCTCTGCTCTCTACCTTAAGGATATAATTTCCCTATTTATTTTTGTCCTTTGATCTGCTTCCCTTCTGTAACTATGCTTGTGACAAGGGAAATGTTGATCCATAAAGGAAGAATTGTTGAGAATTTGAATGGAAACTGGTCAGAAAAGGGACTATTGCTGTATAAATTTCTGAAACATTGGTCTCCTAGTCAGTAACTAATGCTCCAGTTTTTTAAAAAATAGTGGAGTTATTGTATAACAACTATTGACACATGCAGCAATTTAGATGAGTGTCCAGGGAATTATTCTGAGTGGAAGAAAAACCAATCCCAGAGGGTTACCCAGTGTATGATTCTATTTATGTAATATTCTTGGAATGACTAAATTTTAGAGATGGAGGATAGATTAGTGGTTGCCAGGATCTAAGAATGGGGGAGGGAAGGAGTCGTTATAAAAGTACATCATCAGAGAATCCTTGAGGTGTTGGGACTGTTCAGTATTTTGACTATGGTGGTGGATACATGAACATACACAGGTGATAAAATTAATACACCCTCAGAAATGAGTACAAGTAAAACTGGGGCAATTTGAATAAGATTGGTAGATTGTATTAATCCCAGTATTCTGATAATGACAGTTTTGTAAAATGCCACCATTGGGGAAAGCTAGACAAGTATATAAGGGATCTCTCTATTATTATCACTGCATGTGAATCTACAATTAACTCAGTATAAAAAATAGTTGGGTACTATTTGCTACTAAATGCATATGTGAACTCTATTTTAACTTCTTTATATCTGAAAAAATAAAACATTAACAAAATTGATAGCTACCAAACTAATATCCGCCCCTATCTATTTCCTAAAATACCCCACTCCCAAAGGCATGTCCATCTGACTTTTATTTCTATGGCATCACTTAATGAAGAGGAGTGTGGCAACTTGTGAACATTAAAATAGAGAGCAGGAGATATTCCCAGGCTTCCCAACTCTCTTGGCAGTGCAAGGTACCTTACATGGTTTTGTTTTTCCCCCCATTTAATTCTTACCCCTGTAAAACAGGTACTGTTCTTATCTGTCACAAGCAAGCAGAGGAATGCGATTTGAAAAGTAACCATATGAAATCAGGGTTTTGGAGGCATTGTCCTTATTATTTTTTAAAAATTGTGGTAAAAAAAAACACAACATAAAATTTCCCGTCTTCACCACTTTTAATGTACTGTAGTTCAGTAGTGTTAAGTATATTCACATGTGGCCAATCTCCAGAACTTTATCTTGCAAAAATTAAGCTCTGTACCCATTCAACAACAATTCCTCATTTCTCCTCCCCTGAGCCTCTGGCAACCACCATTTTACTTTGTTTCTATGAACGTGGCTGCATAAGGTGCCTCATAAGTGGAATCACATTATACAGTATTTGTCTTTTTGTGACTGGCTTATTATGTAAGTTAGCATATGTCTTCAAGTTTCATCCATGTTGTAGCATGTGTCAGAATTTTTTTTTTTCTTTTTAAGGCTGGTTAATATTCCATTTATATGCCATATTTTGTTTATTCATTCATCTGTTTATGGACACTTGAGTTGCTTCTACCTTTTTTGGCCATTGTAAAAATGCTACTGTGAGCGCGGGTGTACAAACATATCTTTGGGACCCTGCTTTAGATTCTTTTGGCTACTTACTCACAAGTGGGATTGCTGGATCATGGCATTGCCCTCATTTTGAAAGTCATTCAGACACTAACCATATTTCTTAGGGAATTCGCTCTGTAGCTTTACTCCATTTTGTAGTCCCTGAATTGGAGATGGCAGGTTGGAATTAACAGAGGGTGTGGTAATGGGTTTATGTGCAGGAGGTGTTTTTGTGTGTGTGTGTGTGTGTGTGTGTGTGTGTGTGTGTGTGTGTTTTGAGGCAGGAGATAAGTGAAAGACCTAATAGAATTATATCATGCAAGATCATATATTTGATTTTTAAAAGTCTTTTAGGAAAGATGATGTTATTTATTAAAGCTATTTTTTTTTAAGGTGGGGATATTGTTTGTGGATGTCCTTCTTAAAAATGAAGTCTTTTCTGTTTTAGGTTAATACAAAAGCTGAACCAGCAGACAATCTTACAAGTTTCCTGTGGCAATTGGCATTGCTTGGCTCTTGCAGCTGGTAATGTAACATTGAAATATATGCTCATGTTAAGTTATGTTTGCGACCAATTCTCCTTGCATTTTTGTGTGATGGTATCTAACTGGAACCCTTTAATCAGCTGGTTAGTGTTTATGTGTTCCTGTTGGACGGTGGCCATTCTCAGGCACCCTTACTTTTCCTAGGTGAGAATGATGAAAAAGGCGGTCATCACAGCTGCCCCAGGTCTCTCCAGGGGAAGAGAAGCAGCAGACAGGATTGTACCCAAGTGTTCTTGAGCATATGAGCCTACAGAACTTGGGTTTTTCTTAGCTTCGCCTCACTCTTAAGCTCTGTTCCACTATTGGTACCCCAATAAATGAAGAAGAAAAAGTTAGAGAAACCTAAGCCAGCAAATAATACTGTATTCTCTATTAGAATAAATTTGAAGGAAGTCTACAGTAACATGTCCTGTTCTGATACTCTGTGGTGTAGTTCAGTTCATGCCGAACCTCTTGGAATCCTGGGTCTCGTGGTCTTGGGGTGATCAGATGTAGTTCATCTTGCTTAGTGGCTTTAAGCCTGGTAATTGGCCTACCTATTCAAAACTGAATTGTCTTAAACATTTGATAATTTATTTGCATAAATGTTAATAGCCTTTGAAGAATAAGGCTTAGCTTATCTCTCTGTGGTTAAGACAAGTGGGAGTTTTGATTAGGACAGCCTGACATCATGAAGTGACTCTGCTCTCTTGCTCTTGGGCAAGTTTGATGTATGTATGGGATCAACTAACAAATGATCCTAGTGTGCAACTGTATTGTTCTAATGAGATTTTTTTTTTTTTTTTTTTTTTTTTTTGTGGATGGAACTTGTATCATTTCTGGTAATACTAGTTATCCTGTTCTTATTTCAGATGGTCAGTTCTTCACCTGGGGAAAGAACAGCCATGGGCAGCTGGGCCTGGGGAAGGAGTTTCCCTCCCAGGCCAGCCCGCAGAGGGTGCGGTCCCTGGAGGGGATCCCGCTGGCTCAGGTGGCTGCAGGAGGGGCCCACAGCTTTGCCCTGTCTCTCTCAGGAGCCGTTTTTGGCTGGGGGATGAATAATGCAGGGCAACTAGGGCTCAGTGATGAAGAAGGTAGGTAAACTCTTCATAAACACCTCTTTGCTCAAAAACACATTTGTTTAACACGTGTGTCCTGGGGATCTATAGTGTGCTGAACCCATGTTAGGTACTAAGGGTAGTGAACAAAGCAGATAAGACCTTGGCTTAGTGAAGATTACATGTACTGGGCGGGCACAAACCAGTAAGTACATAGCATGTCAGGGATGTGAGAGGGAAATGTCCTGTTTTACTTTGGTGGTCAGGGAGGATGTCTCTGGTGAGAGGATGTTGGAGCAGAGCCCTGTAGGAAGTCAGTAAGAAAAGTGGCATATGGCTATCTGGGCAAGGAATGCTCCTGTGGAAGGGAACAGGATGAGCAAAGGCTGTGATGCAGGAAAAATACGTGGTAAGCTCCAAGAGAGTGAGCTGGGGAAGAATAGCAGAGCTGGAGGTCAGATGGACAGTGTAGGTCAGTCACGTAGGGCCTGACAGGGCAGGTTCAGGATTTTGGCTTCTCTCAGTGAGGGTTTTGAGGAGAGGAGTGATTTGTCTTGACTCTGGCTATCGTGGCCCCCTGGGGAAAGCTGGAAGAGCAGTATGGAGGTAGTGGGAGAAAAGTCAGATTTTGTATCTACTTTGAAGATGGGACCAGTTGGGTGTATGGTTTTAAATAAAGAAAGGAAAGGTTGGAAGGATAAAGTTACCATTTATGAAAAGAGGAAACCTCTGTGTGTGGTGGGGTATGGGCAGGAGGTGGGCAGGCAGAGTTGGGGAGTGTGGGGAAACTGTGAATTGCATTTTAGATATATTAAACATGAGATGCCTGTTGGACATTCAAACGAAAATGCAGGCAGGAAGATAAATATGTGAGTCAGACATCCAGGGGACCCAAAATTCATACTAAGATAGGATGTATCAATATATTTCATCTCAAGGGCAAATGGCAGTGACATTCTGATGTTTATCTTGCTCCAGATCGAGAGTCCCCTTGCCATGTGAAACTTTTACGAACGCAAAAAGTTGTCTATATTAGTTGTGGAGAAGAACACACAGCAGTCCTCACAAAAGTAAGGGACTCTGGAGTATTCTGGAATAATGTGGTACTGGGTATGACATGGATGATTATCACTGATTAATTATTTTATTATTTTTTATCCTTACCCAAGGATATTTTTCCCATTTATTTCTAGAGAGAGTGGAAAGGCGGGAGGAGGGAGGGAAAGAAGGGAGAGAGAGAGAGAGAAACATTGACATGAGAGAGAGAAACATTGACAGGAGAGAGATTCATCAATTAATTGTCCCCCACAGGAGTTCCTAATGGGTCTGGGGATCCTGCAGCTGAGGTGCGTGCCCTTGACTGGAAACTGAGCTTGAGACCTTTCAGTCCATAGGCCAACGCTCTAACCACTAAGCAACTGGCCAGGGCTGATTAAATTTTTTTAAATTGTTTTTTAAAGTGTTTAGAGAGAATGGTGATGGTGCTTAAAATAGTTTTATGTAAATAAACTTAAAATATAGTATATGTAGCAACATTCTGTGTTTTTTTAAAATAAGTTATTTAAATACAGGGTGGGTAAGAGTAGGTTTACAGTTGTTCATATGGCAAATAGTACAATCTCTCTATATAAAAGTTTAAGCGATCATGCTACCGTCCAACTGTTCGATTAGCCGGTAGGTATGATGTTCACTGACCACCAGGGGCAGATGTTCAATGCAGGAGTTGCAGAGCTGTGGTGACTTGGCAGTGGTGGTTCTCGCGTGACGCACCCCGGAACCAGAGAGGAGGGAGCCGGATTCCTCGTAGGGCCACACAATTACACCTTTGACCGTGGGTTATGTTGTTGCTGGAACACTGCTGGCCCAGATCTGGTTTACTGCCGAGCTGTGGTGACCGCAGACTCCCTTCGAGCCTTGGTGCTGGCCCAGGTGCAGCCTTCCTGGGAGGGACCAGGGGAGGTTGGCTCTAAGGCGTGTCCAGCTGTCTCACCCAGAACTTCCCCACCAGCCTCCTTCTAATTAATTTCCTTTCAATGTGCATGAATCTGTGCACTGGGCCACTAGTAATAAATAATGATACAAGAGTAAACTCTATTTTGGCTATTCACAACTGTAAACCTACTTTTGTTCTACCCTATATCTAGAGAAGAGCAATGTAATTAACATTTGAAAATTATCAACCTATTTCTTTTGCTTTTAAAACAATCACATCTAGAGAGAGTGAAAACTATTTTCATATTGGATAAACACAATTTAGAGTCACTTCAATAAAATACCTTAGCAATTGTTTAAGTGTATCTTTTAAAATATTTGGTAACTCCTTACTTACCATGGGGTTTGTAGAGCATTTAATTTTTTTATACATGAAGGATCATGCATTCATTTCATTTCATCTTTTTATTTGTTTCTCTCTTTTTTTGTTTTGCTTCCTAACACATCATTGTAGTTTTAAACAATTTTTAGAGTTTACAATTGGTATACATTCCCTTGAGCAGTGCTGTCTTTGTTCCATAAAGATATCTTAAGTTCCTTTATTATTATTTTATTTAATGAACGTCCCATAGAAGTGATCTTGGCCCACTATAAAGTGAGCATAGTGGTTTTGTTCAGGCCATTTGTGATATGAATTTTGTATGCAGAGGGTTTGAGAGGAGTGTGCTCAAACTCAGCAGTGCAGTGCAGTCATGTGATGTTTGTTCCTCGTTAGAGTGGAGGTGTGTTTACCTTTGGTGCTGGTTCCTGCGGGCAACTTGGACATGATTCCATGAATGATGAGGTTAATCCAAGAAGAGTTCTAGAGCTGATGGGCAGTGAAGTAACTCAGATTGCTTGTGGCAGGTGAGTGCTCGCTCCCAAGAGCTTCCTACTATCTATCCCATCTATTTATGTAAATATATTTTTCTTGATTTCAGAGAGGGAGAGAGAGAGAGAAAAACATCAATGATGAGAGAGAACCACTAATCCGTTGCCTCCTGCATGCTCCCTACTGAGAATCAAGCCTGCAACCTGGGCATGTGTCCTTGACCAGAATGGAACCTGGGACCCTTCAGTCCATAGGCCAACACTCTATCCACTGAGCCAGACCAGCTAGAGCCATAGTAGCTATTTAAACCCAGAAATGGATCTTGTCTTGTAGTGATGGAGAATGTGGTTAGACCTAATCACTATTATTTTAAGAAGTCGTAGCTGCTGCACACCTAATGGTGAAAGTTTGGAGAGTTGGTTCTAAGCAGGGTGTGGTAAGGAAGGGCTTTAGATAAGCAGAGCAACTTGGGGACATTAGGGTTCTTTTGGAATAAAGAGTAGCAGGATGTGGGGAAGACATGAAGAAAGGAAAGTGAGAGTCTCAGAGGACTTATAGGAAATTTTGCCTGATCTACCCACCTTCTTCCCTCTCATTCTAAAGGCCAAATGCAGCAGGACACCCAGCTCTTTCCAAGACTTGCCATCTTCCCTGTGGCCACGAGCATCAGAAGGATAGGAGTATGGGAAGCCAGCCACTGTGAAAAGAGCCACCTAGAAATATGGGGAGGCTTTCTAGGGGCATGCCTAGGAATTGCTGTACTCAACATGTGGACGTTCAAAGTCAGAGTCTGAATGTACAATATATCCGTATTCAGTAATTATTTTTAATTTAATTCTGTTTCCCCAGACAACACACCCTTGCCTTTGTGCCTTCTTCTGGACTCATCTATGCATTTGGTTGTGGAGCAAGAGGTCAACTAGGAACTGGACACACTTGTAATGTGAAGTGCCCGTCTCCTGTGAAGGGTTACTGGGCCGCCCATAGTGGTCAGCTTTCAGCCACTGCTGGTAAGAGTGATTTTCATTAGAATTTAATGATATTTAAATGATAAAAACAATTTTTTAGAGAACATGTTTCTATTTTTTTCCTTGAGATCTTTTGAAGGAATGAATATGAGGTTTTTTTCTTTTAATATCAATCAACAAGTATTTGAGTACTAACTATATAGGTGAGACCCTGAAGAATAAAGCAGAAAATGTTCTTTTGGCCCCAAGAACCTTGGTAAACATTTTAATTATGAAAGTTAATGTTTATTGAATGCTTAACCAAGTTCCATTACCATGCTAAGCACTTGGGATAACTTTAAAAACTAGTGGTTGTTATCCTCATGCCAGTGACGAAGAGACCGACTCTTAAGGAAGTTAAGTAACAGAGATTCTGGGGCAGGATTTAAATTCAGCTCTGCCTCATTCTAAAGCTTTTGCTCTTAATACTTGCATTTTGTTACTTTCCTTTATTATTTTGGTCATAAAATGACACAGTTTCTTTTATGTTATTGTCTCCTTTCCTTAAAAAAAGTTAAATAGCATAGTGTCCAGAATAAGGCAGGCAGTCAGTGTGAATAAATTCAGAGGCTGCAATGGAGCTGGAGAGTCATTACAAGCAGCATAATTTAATAATTAATTTTGAAGACTAAAGTGACACTTTCAGGATTATCGGAATCTTTCAGGACAGGGACTGAATCTTGTCCTCTTTGTAAACCTGGCTCAAACTTCTCACTCAGTAAATATTTGTGGGATGAATATGAGTGTCTAAAAATGTAGAACTTAAAATATAAAATAAACAAGATTCCCACCCCCCCCCCCAATGTTCCAAAAAGTGAAAGAATGGCTTAGTGTCCTTTTTGTCATTTGTAAATGTCTTTTTCTCAAAATATTGTACTTATTATGCTAGGAATGTATGTTTAAAAAATATACTAACTTTAAATACTCAAGAGTTTTATAGTTTGAAACCTATAGTCTTGAACTTTAATTACAACTAACTTAGGTGCCTTTTCCTTATGAGATCATAAATTTGTGTTATGATGTTTGCCAAAATGATTTTATAACATAACATAAGTAGGTACATTTCAACTTATTATGGTAAATGCTGTGGTTTTAGGTAAATGCTGTGGTTTTACTTTCATGGTAATGTGGGAACACAGAGAAAGGCATCGAGGAGTATTCCAGTTAGAGGAAGTTTGAGCTGTGTCTTTTATTTTATTTTATTTTATTTTATTTTATTTTATTTTATTTTATTTTTTATTTTATTGATTTTTTACAGAGAGGAAGGGAGAGGGATAGAGAACTAGAAACATTTATGAGAGAGAAACATCGACCAGCTGCCTCCTGCACACCCTCTACTGGGGATGTGCCTGCAACCAATATACATGCCCTTGACTGGAATCGAACCTGGGGCCTTTCAGTCCACAGACTGATGCTCTATCTCCACTGAGCCAAACCTTTGGCTTGAGCTATATCTTGGCTTGAGCTATGTCTTATAGGATGGTTTGGAGTTAGCCAGGTGGGGGACTGTGAGGAAGTGGGTGCTGCGTACCGGAATGGCACAGTTTCAGGAGCACTGTTCCGATTATGCTCTAGAAGTCACCATTCGTGGAAACAGAGTGTGTGCTGGTGGCAGCAAAAGGAAAAGGCATGGAGTGGTACTGTATGAGAAATAAAAGCAGCGTGATGGCATTAGAGATTGACCGCAGACACAGTGTGATGAGATACAAAGCAGGGAGTAGGGCATCTAGGTTCTTACATGGCAAGCTTCATCCTGAAGGGGCTGGGAGCACCACAGACGCTGAATTATTTGTTAGGCAGATGTTACTGTTCATAGTCCTGACCGTTTTAAGTTGCAGGTCAGTGGCATGACAGAATTAGAATGAACAGTAGAAACGAGGTCAGCATTAGCTGGCACTTGGGGAGGGGATGGAGACAGGGTTAGAGGTGGAGGCTACCATTTGATATATTTATTTTTAATGGAAGTAGAAACAGTCCTGGGCAGAGAGCCAGGAGACAGTTTTTTTTTCACTTCTCTGACATAATTAAACTGGATAGGAAACCATTGTGAAGGATATTTTGGAATATTAGAAAAGGGATCAAGGAAAAACTTTAATTATTGAAAAATATGCTGTTGAAAATTTTTTTGACAGATCGCTTTAAATATCATATTGTTAAGCAGATCTTCTCTGGAGGAGACCAAACTTTTGTACTTTGCTCCAAATATGAGGTAAAATTTTCTTTTGACTATTACTTTGGGGGTTGAATGGTGGTGAACCAGTATTTATTTTAATAAATAATTAAATGGAAAAATAAATAATTATACAAGAACAATGTTTCTCTTTGTTTCTACCAGTTTATCTTATTAAAATAAGCAGACTAAACCCTGAAGAGGTTAGCTTCATTTTGCTTCCTTGAAGTGCCAATATTTTTTTCGGGTATTTTAATCATAGAGTTCTAATTTATAATTTAAAATAATTTGTATCTATATCTGTTCCAAAGGAGATTTAAGGATACCTAGATAGTTCATACTTACTTTGGCATTAATAGAGTTCCTGTTTCTTTGCTTCCCCCTGAAGTAGTGAAAATATTATATTAGGTGTTTGAGAACTTAGTGGGTTTCTTTTTTTTCTCTTTTTTACATGATTGAATATATACTAAATATAGAAGAGAGACCCCAGTATTTAACTATCCTTTCTCATTTATGATCTGCTTATTGCACCACACTCAAATTTTCCTCATATTGTCTCCTGCATCACATTTGTGTGTAAGTCAGGAAGAAGGAGGTTCCAGTATCTTTCGTGGTTGAAGGTAGGAGAATATGGCCTAAGGCAGTAGTCGGCAAACTCATTAGTCAACAGAGCCAAATATCAACAGTACAACGATTGAAATTTCGAGAGCCAGATTTTTTAAACTTAAACTTCTAACGCCAGTTCTTCAAAATAGACTTGCCCTGGCCGTGGTATTTTGTGGAAGAGCCACACTCAAGAGGCCAAAGAGCTGCATGTGGCTTGCGAGCCACAGTTTCCCAACCACAGGCCTAGGTATCTGCAACAGTGCTTTAATTCATTGCCCTCTTCCTGGATGAGGAAAATCATTCTGCAACCAGCACCAGAGAATTGCCTTCCATCCTCTCTTCTACTCTTGTGCTTTCTCTCCTCTCCTCTCTCTTGCCCACCCTGCATTGATCCTTTTCCTGTCCTAGAGGAGCAAGGAAGGGGCATTGGTGAAGATAAAGGATTCCAAATTGGAAATTTTCCCCATTGGTCTGATATTTTGCCGTCTATAAATATGAAATGTTCTTACCTTCTAATTAGTATAATTCTATGCTTTAAGTAGAAAAGGTTGTGGTGGAGCCCGAGGCTGCTGGTTGGGTAGTTAAAACTGATAATTAGACATTTTCCAGGTCAGCAGCCTGAAGAAGGTTGGGTTTAGTGGCACCATCTGGGGTGATTGGGAACTCTGACTTTAGACATATTTTAGACCCAGCTTCAGTGCTTCACAGAGAAATGTTGAGCAAAGATGAAATTATTCTGTGTCTTCAAGATGCCAATAAAGTGAAGTATGAAAAAACACTGAATCTCTGCAGATTAATAACTTTTTATCCACAAGTAGAGTTCAAAGTACTCATATCTCAAAGAAATTGACTTGAATAATATTATTCGAAATATTCAAAAATAGTTTTCCTGTGCAATTCAACATAAAGCTTAGTTTCCTTCTTTTATAAATGTTACTAGAGGCCTGATGCACAAAATTCATTCACTGGGGGTTGTGGTCCCTCAGCCCAGCCTGCACCCTGTCCAATCTGGGACCCATGGAGGGATGTCCGACTGCCCATTTAGGCCTGATCCCGGTGGGATCTGCCTGATTGCCTCTAACCGCTTCTACTGCCAGCCTGATCACCCCCTAACCACTCCACTGCCAGCCTGATCAATGCCTAACTGCTCCCTAGCCAGCCCGATTGCCCCTAACTGTCCTCCCCTGCTGGCCTGGTCATCCCTAACTGCCCTCCCCTGCAAACCTGGTCCCTCCCAACTGCCTTCCCCTGCAGGCCTGGTCCCCCCCAACTGCCCTCCCCTTCTGGCCTGCCCCCCCAACTGCCCTCCCCTGCAGGCCTGGGTCCCCCCCAACTGTCCTGCTGGCCTAGTGCCCCCAAACTGTCCTCCCTTGCTGGCCTGGTCTCCCCCAACTGCCCTCTTCTGACGGCCTGGTCATCCCCAACTGCCCACAACTGCCCTTTCCTGCTGGCCATCTTGTGGTAGCCATCTTGTGTCCACATGGGGGCAGCCATCTTTGACCACATGGGGGCGATCATATTGTGTCTTGGAATGATGGTCAATTTATTATATAGGATAGAATCCTATATAATAAAGAGGTAATATGCAAGTTGACCATCACTCCAACACACAGGATGGCCACCACAAGATAGCCAGCAGTGGAGGGCAATTGTGGGTGATCAGTCCTGCAAGTGAGGGCAGTTGTGGGTGATGAGGCCTGCAGGGGAGGGCAGTTGGGGGCGACCAGGCCTGCAGGGGAGGACAGTTAGGAGTGACCAGGACAGTTGGAAGTGATCAGGCCTGATGGAGGACAGTTAGGGGCAACCAGGTCAGCAGGGGAAGGCAGTTAGGGGCAATTGGGCTGGCAGTGGAGCAGTTAGGCATTGATCAGGCTGGCAGAGGAGGGGTTAGGGGGTGATCAGGCTGGCAGACAGGCGAGTGGTTGGAAGCCAGCAGTCCTGGATTGTGAGAGGGGTCCCAGATTGGAGAGGTTGCAGGCTGGGCTTAGGAACATCTGCCCCTTGTGAACAACTTTCATGCACCGGGCCTCTAGTCTTACATAACACGGTGGGGCGAAAGTAGGTCTACAGTTGTTTGGTGAAGGCCTAGGGAGGAAGAAAGAGTGAGGTGAAGGGGGTCATTGGGGAAAGAAAGGAGGACATTTATTTTTCAATAATAAAGATAAAGAGAAAATAAAATAATATAATCCTATATAATAAAGAGCTAATATGCTAATTAGACCGAACAGACAAACGACCTTCTGAATGTCCTTCCAGATGAAGCCAAGGCTGCTAGGGCTGCAAGGGCTGAGCCCCTTCCTTGCACAAATTTTGTGCATTGTACCTCCTCTAGTAAATTAATAAGTTAATTAAAATTAATAATACAAGAATAAACTGTGTTTCAAGTACTCACTACTGTAAACATGCTTTTGCCCCACCCTGTAATGTCCCTGAAGAATCTTTGCTCCTTCTGTTGTCCAGTCTCCAGTTCACTTATGCCAGTACCAACATTGGCCTTTACAGTCCCCTTTCTTTATTCTGTTCTGTGTTCTTTTGCTATTTGCTTCAGGTTTTCTCCTACAGACCAGGTCTTGCAAATCTTATGTTTAGGTTTATTTTTCTTTGCCTAATTCAAGGAATCATAAATCCTGCCAAAGCCAGTTGTCTCACCACCACCAAAATGGGTTCTGAATCCAAATGTAGAGATCACATCTGCTGGTCTTATACATTTTGGTTAGTTTTCCTTGAATTTCTATCTTTGGTACTGTTCCCTTCTAGGGATGTCGATGACCATTTGTTTCCAGCAACTTCCTGGTGTGGATAGTTACTGGGATGTTCGTGATGGCAGCCTATCCTTAAGCAGCCAAAGAGGAAAAAAAGCTGTAGTTGAATTTTAAATTTACTGTAATTAACACTGATGTGGCTAGCAAAGAAAACATGGACGAGAAGGAAGTGAAGTAGGCTAGTGCTTTGAAGTAGGCTAGTGTTAAAGAAACAGGGAAGGTTAAAGTGTAAACACTTGTTAAGAGTGGTATGCATTAAAAATGTAAGATTGCAAGGAAAAAAAGAAAATAAAAATAGAGTATCACTTGGTTAAGGTGTTGATCTTTTTTACAACCTGAAACCTGTACACTTTTAAGCCATTAACCGTAGATTTCTTTTTTAGAAATGGAAACTGATCAAATCGTGTTTATCTTGCTACCATTATCACATGAAGAATCACTTAAAGAACCAATAAAAAGCATCTGTGTAGTAACAGGCTCCATTTTTGTGAAATGCTGACTCATTCATTTATACCAGGCCTGAGGAGGAAGAAGGGAGGGGAGGAGTTTTTTTATTTGATTCTAGGTCTTGGCAATTTAGTGAGTGTAAACCATAGTCATTTTTCCTCTCATCTTGTTCCCCGGATAGGATTGGAGAGGGAATGTCGTTGGGATTGTGTTTTGTGCGTGTGTGTGTGTGTGTGTGTGTGTGTGTGTATTTGTCTGTCTGTCTAAAAGCCTGCTGTCCTATATAATAAAATGCTAATATGCAAATCGACTGAACAGCAGAGCTACTGGTCACTATGACGTGCACTGACCACCAGGGGGCAGATGCTCAGCACAGGAGTTGCATCCTGATGGTCAGTGTGCTCCCATCGCTCAGCCAGACGCTGGGCTCACGGCTGAAGACCACAATGGTGGTGGAGGGAGACTCTCCTACCTCTGCAGTAGTGCTAAGGATGTCTGACTGCTCTGGGCTGAGGGATCCTCCCCCGCTCCCCCTTCCCACCCCGAAATGCACGAATTTCGTGCAATGGGCCTCTAGTTTGACATAATCCTCTTTTCTTAGAAGAGTTAATCTCAACCTAAGTTACTCATTGAAATCACCTGGGGCCTTAAAAAATACATGCTGATGCCTCTAGGGATCTGATTGAATTGGTGTAATGTGACTTGGCCGCCAGGATTTGTAATTGCTCTGGTGACCCAAGAGTAGCCAAAGTTGAGAAACACTGTCCTAGACCAACTTTTTCATTTTGGCCTGTATGTAATTAGAAGACATTGATTAGAAGAAAATTGATGCTTTTTCTTAGATCTTTAGGTAATTCTGAAATTGTACTTTATTTAAGGCATCTGTAGTTTATTGGGTGGACATGTAGGAAAGAATGAGAAAATAATTCCATATCTATATTTTATGTATAAGTATGTGTTCAGCTTCACCCTTCGGTGGGGGAAGTAATTAAAATTTACATAACATCAGTAGTTTAAAATCAGAGTGTGTATGTGCTCAAATGTCTACTTTGTCTTAGGATTTTTCTCTATATAATTCAAGAAGACTTGTCTGTGGCCATTTTAGTAAAATAATTATCAAGAACCAGATGATCAAAAACTTCGGCAGGCATCTCTGATTCGTTACATGACCTTCTCTTTTTCCCTTTTAATAGTATCTTAACTCATAATTATGGGAAAAAACAAGAAAATTTACTTTGAAATTTGTATTTTTATGTGTAGATGCAAACTAGAAAAAAAATGATCATTTTATGAATTGGTGGATGAATGTTCTAATATTATTTTTTGCTCTTTTTAAAAAATCTATGTAGTTTATTAATTTCAGAGAGGAAGGGAGAGGAAGAGATAGAAACATCAATGATGAGAGAGAATCATTGATTGGCTGCCTCCTGCACGCCCCCACTGGAGATCAAGCCCACAACCCCAGGTGCCCTTGACCCGAGTCAAATGCAGGACCCTTCAGTCTGCAGGCCAACACTCTATCCACTGAGCCAAATCAGCTAGGGCACTTTTTGTTATTTTTACTGACAAGTATAGGAGGCCTAAAGCACTTTCAACTTTTTCATAGTTCTACATCAAGAACAGGATTTGGGGAAAATTAGTTGAAAAGGGGAAATTTTTTAAAATAAAACTGCTTTTTTAAAAATAAACAAACAAACAACAACAAAAAAAAACCCTCACTGAATAAAGGATGTACAGTCCTGGGCAACATTTGGAATTTTTAAGTCCACTATTGACATATCCTTTTGCCACCTTTATAAATTTATAGCTATAAACTTGGAGCAAGAAATTAAGAGGCATTCTTTATAGATTATTTGCAATATACATTGTAAGAACTTTTTATAATGTATTATGTTGGAGTTCAGTGAATAGTTATGGCACATGAGTTATACCTTAAAAACCTTGATATTACAGTGATTCAAAGCCAAGGGGCAAGAAGTCTGAAAAACCTGTTTTAATTTCTCTGGGAAACAAACTCTGAGGCTGAGATTTATGTTCAGAAAGTTGTTTGGGGGAGTGCACTATAGAACAACATTTACTTGGATGAAGGAGTCAGGATTGGGCAGAGGGAGAAGTTGAACTGCCATCAGTATAACTGAGTCCCTGGCCAATCCTTGGGGAGCTCTGAGGTTGGGGTGGCCCTTCAGCCATTCCTGAGTTGAGGCACAGGGGCTGGACCTTGCTGTCACACCTCTAACTGCCACCAGATGGGAAAGGAGTGAAGCAATTTCTGGAGAGCAGCCCAGCTGACAGCTGTCAGGAGCTTACCCTCAGCAGCTGGGGGGAGTGAGTTCCCCCATTCTGAAGGGTGGGGGACATCTGGGCAGTGCACCCCAGCTCCTGTAGTAAGTGAAACACAGAATGGAGAAAATGTCAGGAGAAGCAGAAGGGAAAAGATCCATCCTACATAATTTCTCATTTTTACTGTTATATTTCATCCTCCAGAATTCTTCTCCTGCTGTTGACTTCAGGATTATGAATCAAGCACATTATACCAGTTTAATAAACGATGAAACCATAGCAGCTTGGAAACAAAAACTCTCAGAACACAACAATGCAAATACAATCAAGTATGTGATTGTTTCTCCTCATTTTATTTTTTCCAACGTGTGGTGGAATCTTCTATCTTAGTGATTTTCCCCACTTCCATATTGAGATTGTGAATATAAATGGTGTTTTACATTTTAGGGAACCAGTTTTGCACATATTTATTCAGGATTTGTGTTCTTACCCCAAATAACATACTAGGTTGTTCCTTCTTCATTCTTTCAGAGATTGTATTCTTCAACCTGCCTTGTACAGATCTTACAAAATCCTGATAAAGGTCTGAGTTGGCCTTTTTGTTAAGAAAATTTATTGTTTGACACCACGAGTTTCTTCATATGCATGTTTCAAAGCATCCTAAGTCTAATACAGCTGCCTTACCTCATCTGAATATTCTAGGATTCACAAAGATTCACAAAGCTGGTAATTCAGTGTCAAGTAGGGAAAAAATATAGTAAAAAGTATTGAGGCCTTTTGTCAAGTTTATCTTATTCTTAAAGGAGGATTATTTTAGTGAACATTTTTATACATTTTTCATCGGTTTTCTTTAGCATTTCTATTTTTTTGCAGAGACTCTTCTTGGGAAAGAATGAATCACATTTGCTGTACTAAGCAGTGGTCATTCCCGGAAATGTGTCTTCTTACACCTGGCTTTATGCCATGGATTGTAGTGGAGCAGATGACCAGGGTCTGAACTTAGGGCACCCTGTGGGGTCAGTGGGCATGCCCTAGGGCGGTTCTTGGCTGTCCTCAGAATCGAGGAGTTCAGGCTGGAAGGTAGCAGGGGAAACGGGACTAGATTCACTGTTGAAGGGCTGGGTGGGGGGACTGTAGCCTCACTTGGCTGGAACCATGATACTTTTCTAGTTTTCAGATCATTACCAGGTACAATAAGTTTTTTTTTTTTTTTTTTTTTTTAATTTGTTGCTTTGTTTTAATTTTAATACTAGAGGCTTGGTGCAAGAAATTCGGGCACAGGGGGAGGAAGTCCCCTCAGCCCAGCCTGCACCCTCCAATCCGGGACCCGTCGGGGGATGTCCAACTGCCATTTTAGGTCCTATCCTCTCAAAATCTGGGACCACTGGCTCCTAGCTACTCACCTGCCTGCCTGATGGCCCCTAACTGCCCCCCCCCCCCCGCCAGCCTGGTTTCCCCTTACTGTCCCCCCCTACTAGCCTGGTGGCCCCTAACTGCCCCCACCCCGCTGGCCTGGTCACCCCTAACTTCCTCCCACTGGCCTGGTTGCCCCTAATGCTCCCCTCTGCCCCCCACGGGCCTGGTTGCCCCACATAGCCTACTGCTTGGTTGTTTGGTCATCCCTCACTAAGCCCCCTGCTGGTCATCCCATGCAGCTTGTTCAGTCGTCCATGCGCTTAGTCTTTTATATATATAGATGACTTATGGAAAACTTAAGCTCTTTTTTGTTTTTAGATGTGACGCAATGTTGTTTTTTAAGCAAATTGTATGTACATTTTCCAAGGCTTCACCTGAAACTCTAGAAAAAGCTATATGTCTAATCTATTGCTGATGCTTAAATAACCACCTTTTTGTAATTATTAAAGGCTTTCCTCTCTTTTTCTCTCTGAACAGTGGTGTTGTTCAGATATTATCTTCTGCAGCCTGTTGGAATGGAAGTTTTCTTGAAAAAAAGTAAGTGAGTGACTTAGAGTCTTAAAAAGAAAAATTCCCACATGTGATAAAGGTACTTACACAGCAAAGGCTGTGAAACACTTCTGTTCTCTTTGATAGTGGTTGGTCTTAATTCAGTGGATAAGTTAATGATTTATGCAGAAACTGGAATGCTGTGGTAATGAAGGAAAGGCAATGCTGACTCATGCCTGGTTGGCAAAGAGGCCGATTACCAAAGAGAGAGGTTGTGTCTCAGAAAGAGTTGATGTAATCAAAAGTAAGATTTTGGCCTGACCTGTTTGGCTCAGTGGTTAGGGTGTTGGCCTGTGGTCTGAAGGGTTGCAAGTTTGATTCCAGGTCAAGGTCATATACCTTGGTTGCAGAGCAGGAGGCAACCAATCAATGTGTCTCTCTCACATCAGTGATTTCCTCTCTCCTTCCTTTCTCTCACTTTCTTCCCCCTCCCTCCACCTTCCGCATGTTCTAAAAATCAGTGGAAAAAATACCCTCATTCCTTGAATGAGGATTACATTTATTCTTGAATTACATGTGTACAACATTTATTCTGGAATTCTTAATTCTCTAAGTAATCTTGATTTCATATCCCATATGATTTATTTTCTTTTTCCTTATCAAGAGTGAGCTTAGGGAAAGGTCCAAGGAGACTTCTGGGCTTTGTGGACTCAGGTCCAGCCCAGCTCACCAGGAAATTACATTTGGGCTGCACCCTCAGGTAGTAAATAGAGTGTGGGTTTTGTTTTTTGTGTTTTTTGTTGTTGGTTGTTTTTTGTTTTTGTTTTTTTCCTTTTTTTTTTTTGTCATATCCCTTCTGCAGATATTCCCTTTAGGAACCTGATGCAGCAGAAGGGTTTGTCATGGATTTCGATTTTTGGTGATCCCAAACCCTTTCCATCTCTTCGTGCTTTTGCCAATGAGAATCTCAGGAAGACTTTGACATAATTTTCTGTGTGTGAATCCCACTCCCCCATCCCACTCAAATTATGAGCCAACTGGGTTACAAGAGGTCACTTCAGAAACTCTTCAGTGAATTAGAAATTGCTAAATGATATACTTGTATCATTAAGGCAGTTAGAGAGAGCTAATCCAATTCATTTCAGACTCAATTCTTAGCCTTTTCCTCCAGGGAAAAGTATTCTGGATTGTGATGATTTTGGTCTTTTTTAGGACAGTGGTTCTCAACCAGGCTGATTTTGCTTCCCTGGGGTATCTGGCGATGTCTGGTGACATTTTTTGTTATGATGGGGTAGGTACTAGTATTCTACTGGCACCCAGTAGGCAAAGGCCAGGAGTGCTGCTGAGTAGCTCACAATCCCATCCTCTCAACGAAAACTTTTCTAAAGTCAATAGTATCAAGGCTGAGAAACCTTGTTCTAGAAGGACAGCCCTATGAAGGTTAGGAATGGCTCTCAGACAGATTTGTCAGGATATCCATCCTTCATATCATGGGTTCCATCAGGTTCTGGGTGAAGCTTTTCTTTTTAACTGACAGCAGTGCCGTTTCAGGAGTCCTGCTCCTACAGCTTAATACAGAGTGGTGATGGGGACAATTAAAATGAAGATCAGTTTTACAAAGCATATATGTAAAATCTTTTGTGTGTGTGTGTATATATATATATATATATATTTAATTTATTTTTAATTTTTTTGCTTAACAGTGTAGCAAAATTACATCTAAGCATGTGGAAAGTGACATATGCAACACCAGAATGAATTTCTATGGTTTGGGCAGGTTTTTGTTTTTTCGAACACCAACAAAAGCCCCAACAAAGCCCAACCATCTCCTCTTGATTTGACAGTTTAGGTTCTAACACATATAACTATGGTTTAAAAACAAAGGTGAGAAACTCTGCTTATGTTTTTATAAATTAAAACATTGCTGTCAAGAGGATGTTAAGACTTTCTGAATGTGTCCATTACTCATAAACAGAAGCCTGTTTGGCAAATAGCTAGTCTTTTTGTGACTCATAGATGTGGAATGTTCATGAGTGGACATTTAATAGAGACATTCTTTAAGTCTAAAAGACCGAAAACTTTATTCAGGCTCCTTTAAAATGCTCTTTATTTAAGGTTGGAAAAAAGATTAGTTGCTGGGAAGTTAAAAAGAGTAGCAGTGAAATTTAGTCCCTGGGTGAATGTAATTGTATCTTTCTCTTTTTGAAAAACATGTTTTCATTGATTTTAGAGGGAGAGAGAGAAAAACATCAGTGAGAGAGAAACATTACGAGGTTGCCTCCTGCACGCCCCCTACTAGGGATTGAGCCTCAGCAATCTGGTCATGTGCCCTAACCAAGAATCCAACTGGTGACCTCTTGGTATATGGGACAGTGCTGAATCCACTGAGCCACTCTGGCCAACCTGTAATTGTATCTCTTTTGTTAACTAATAGAAACATTAGTGTTGTATTTGTTGTAGGTCTGATTTTAAGAAAGGCTTTAAACAAGGAGGTTATTACTTGCCACTCGTTGATGAGTGGGCCAGTTTGCGGAGGGGACTTTTTTTGCATTGGGCACAGCATCCACAGCTTGTTCAGTGCACCAGTTACAGAAAAAGGCAAAAACACAAGAGTTAATCAGGGAAATAACACAGCTCATAAACTCTGAGACAGTCTCAAATTGAAATGATGATCCTTGTGCTTAGACTGGAAGGAAAAAAGGCTCGCCAATTTTAAGAATATCTTGAAAAAGGGATTCCAGAGAGGTTTATTCTGTCTGACTTTACTATATTGTCTGCCAGGTCAAATTAAATGTGATCAGTATTGATAAACTATTTGTTTACCTATTTATAATTCCTGTCAGAGTGTTTGCTTTGTGTTGCTTACACCCTCTTTTGTTTTTGTTTGTTTAGAATTGATGAACATTTTAAAACAAGTCCAAAAATCCCTGGGATTGACCTGAACTCAACGAGGGTATTATTTGAGAAGTTAATGAACTCGCAACATTCTGTGATTCTAGAACAGGTATGTTCTTTACGTTTAAAAATGCACTCTTTTTTTTCTCGTTGCAATATTTTAATTTTCAAGAAAAAGATGAACAGGCAAAGGTCGTGTATAAACCTTAATTCTAAAATATTCAGTTTGGGATTTTGACCTACCGTCCACTTTCTTTTTGGCCTAAGCCCGTGGTTGGCAAACTTCGGCTAGAGAGCCTCATGCAGCTCCTTGGTCCCTTGAGTGTGGCTCTTCCACAAGATTCCACAGCCTGGGCAAGTCTATTTTGAAGAAGTAGCGTTAGAAGAAGTTTAAGTTTAAAAAATTTGGCTCTCAAAAGAAATTTCAATCGTTCTGTTGATATTTGGCTCTGTTGACTAATGAGTTTGCCGACCACTGGCCTAAACCTTCCTAAGGAAATGCCCCTCCAGAGTGTAAGGTCTGCATGGGCAGACTCTTCGGCTTTTCTTTTCACTGATATATTCTGAACACCTAGATCAGTGCTGGCTCGTAGGAGGCCCTCCGTGATACAGTGCGTGAGAGTTGAGAATTTATTAAATAGCATATGAATCTGGTAACTAGATCTCATGTATGCTTGAATTGCTCAAAGTTCTTTTCTCTCGTACAGATCTTAAACAGCTTTGAAAGTTGCCTGATTCCCCAGTTGTCAAGTTCACCACCAGATGTTGAAGCCATGCGAATCTATTTAATACTACCTGAGTTCCCCCTGCTCCAGGATTCCAAGTATTATATAACGTTGACTATTCCCTTGGCTATGGCCATTCTGAGGCTGGATACAAACCCTAGCAAAGTATTAGGTGAATTTGCTATATTCAATACTAATGGTTTTGTGCTTTTTATTTTATTGGTGTGACCACTGGCTCTCGGTGGACTGAGATCCAAGAAGCTATCTGTTGCCATTTAACATCCTTAATATTTTAACCTTTTTCCTTTGCTGTTAATTTCTAACCAGCCGTATTGGCTGTTTGAACAAATTGAACCATTAATTTGGATATTTGAAATAATCCACACCACACTAATATTGACTTTTAGATATCCAGAAAGTTAGATTATCCAGCTTTATTTTTCCTTATCCTGTTCTTGCTAGTAGTTAGTAGTGCCTCAACATTTAATGTCTACCATTGCTTTTACTCCCATTGAACTCAGGGGGTGGGCGTGAAATGAACAGTTTTGGTGATTCACAGGTCTCCAGAAAAGGAGAGGAAGAAAATGACCTAGTGGAGACTTACCAAATGTTTGTTTTGTTTTTCTTTTTTAGGGCAGTTGAGTCCTCACTGATTTTTGCAGGCTACGGACACTTTGCTGAGATAAGAACCTTCCGTTCCTCAGTGAATTGGAGAGTGTCTCTCATGGGAGTAGCACCTGAGATGTTTTTATTATTAATCAAGTGCAGAAAGTCTGTCTACTGGCTTTTTCCTTTTTATTTCCCCTGGTAAATTTTTTCAGGTGTTCACTGCAGCTCAGTAACTTCTGCGTTCCCTGAGAAATAGGATGTTACTTGAGGGTGATTTCCCCATGAGTAAGGAGACCTGTGTTCCTCGGGGTGGAGTACTGGCGTATATTGCTTCCACCTTTGCAGAAGATAAAAACAGAAATCATGAAAGCACTAGTAGTAATAGGTTAGCCCTTAGTTATTTTTTAAGATCAAAAGCCTTTTGGGGTGCATTTCTCAGATGTGTAGAGAGATGGCATCTTGTGAAGGAGTATAGTACCTGACTTTTAAATTTTGAAGGCTTTTAATTTTATTTTTTCCAGGTAGGATGGCACAAAGCGATTGAAATCATTCAGTTTTACACTGAATTTGTTTTTAACTTCTACTTATAGAAATTTAAACTTAAAAAAAAATACCCTAAAGTAGAGAGAATGCTACAGGAAATCATCAATTAGTGATTATCAGCATTTTGCCCATTTTGTTTTATCTATTCCCCTACCACAACCTTTATATTTTTTGCTGGAGTATTATTTTTAAGTCTCAGATATCATATTATTTAATCTTATACATATTTCAGTATGGCTGAATTTATTACTGACAAAATAGAAGTTACTGATATCATTTTCTTGTCAGGTTATGAGAGCATTGTTTGGTGAGAAGCAGAAATTGTAGTTTTTCAACTAATTATGCCTCTTGAAGGGAAGGAATGGTTGTCATATTGATGCTATCCTGGGATGTGTGGTCATTGGCATCCCTGATTCAGGATTTAGATGTGGTGGATGAGAAGGGGGTTGAAAGGACTAAGATAGATGACTGCTCCTGCCCAAAATATGTACCTTAGCATCCTGTCCACATGTACCCTTGGGAGTGAAATTTTCGATTAGCCTTCTAAATGAGTTTCTGAGGGGGAAAAAATCAGATCAAGCTTTACAAAAAAGGCTCTAAGGATTCTTGCATAGCTGCTGCTCATTCTAGAAGTGCTTTAGTGGGTTCCTAAAAAAACCCTACACAAACCACATGTTTTTATTGATTTTAGAGAGAGAGGAAGGAAGAGGTAGAGAGAAACATTTATGAGAGAGAAACCTTGATCGGCAGCCTCTTGCATGCCCTCTACTGGAAATTGAGCCAGAAACACAGTCTTGTGCCCTGACTGGGATTTGAATTGGTGACCTCTTGGTATATGGGCTGACGCTCAACCAACTGAGTCACACCAGTGATGACTAATGGATACTTTTAAAGTCAGTTTTAGGAAACTGTATTTTAGAATGACGTCCCCTTTCTAGCTGGAGTGGTTTTTAGCTAGTAGGCAGAAGATGTAAACACTTAAGACATAAATATCAAGATTATATGTTGAAATATGTTTTTTCTTTCTTTCTAAAGATAACTGGTGGTCTCAGGTATGCCCGAAATATTTCAAGAAGCTGGTAAACCTCTATAAAGATGCAGTTGTTTATCTACTTCAAGGAAGAAAGACATTCTTAATTCCTGTACTGTTTAACAGTTATATTACAGCAGCTCTCAAGCTCTTGGAAAAGTTATATAAGGTAAATATTGAGCGTGGGGATAAGGCTGAATACATGGGAGGGTCAAATGTCCTACTGAGATGTTCGGTGGGAAGCCATTGTCCACTTGTCTTGGTGTTAGTTGTCTTTATTTTGTTCTACGTCAGGTAAACCTTAAAGTGAAGCATGTGGAATATGATGCATTTTACATTCCTGAGATTTCCAGTCTTGTGGACATTCAGGAAGACTACCTCATGTGGTTCTTGCATCAAGCAGGCACGGTAAGAATTCATGTAAAGCATATCTTACAGCTTTAGTCTTTTCTCGGAGTACAAATAAGGCTAATGAAAGCACACCTGAGCCCTTTAAATGTGTCCTTGACTTTGGTGTTCGTGTCATATCTGTGTTTTATCCACTGACTTTTGCATTCTTGAAAGTTTGAAGTCCTTTGAGTAATCTCAAATGATCATAAAGATAACTCTTTATGGGTAGTCACACAGAAATGGTATAAATTTTTTTAAAAAATATATTTTATTGATTTTGTACAGAGAGGAAGGGAGAGAGATAGAGAGTTAGAAACATCGATGAGAGAGAGTCATCGATCAGCTGCCTCTTGCACACCCCCTACTGGGGATATGCCCGCAACTAAGGTACATGCCCTTGACCGGAATCGAACCCGGGACCCTTCAGTTCCCAAGCCGACGCTCTATCCTTTGAGCCAAACCGGTTTCGACGAAATGCTATAAATTTTAACTAGTTGTCAACATGAAAAAATATATCAAGGTGTCTAAAGTAGTCAGACTCATAGGATCAGAAAGGAGAATTGTGGGGAAGGGAAGTGGGTAGTTGTATTATAATGGGTATAAAGTTTCTGTTTTGCAAGTTGAAAGCATTTTGGAGATCATTGCTCAATAATGCAAATATAATTAATATTACTGAACTGTATATTTTAAAATGACACAGTAAACTTTGTTGTATATATATATCACAATTTAAAAATGTCAAGAAATATTAAATGAATTTTTAGCTTTTCTTGGAACTCAGAAGATCTGGCAACATGACCTTCTTCCCAGATGGCACTAATTGGCTGGCGTTCAATAGTGGTTCTTTAGACGAGGCTTCTGTGTGCCACAATCCCCACTGCAGCTTGGCTTTGACATTGAGTAAAGGACATTTGCTAATTATCATCTTCTAATAGCTATCCTACTTCTGTCATCTTACTCAGCTGCTTGGACCCTATAGGCCACTCTGATTTAGGATTATGTGAATGAAAAGGTCACATATCCCTGACCCAGTGCTCACCATATGTTAGACATGCCACCCAAGGAACTTCGTGCAGGTTCCTACCTGCCACCCTTGACGTGGCAAGAACTGCTGAGTTTTTTTTGTGTGTGTTTTCTTTTTAATATATTTTATTGATTTTTTACAGAGTGGAAGGGAGAGGGATAGAGAACTAGAACTAGAACTGACGAGAGAGAAATATCGACCAGCTGCCTCCTGCACACCCTCTACCGGGGATGTGACCGCAACCAATGTACATGCCCTTGACCAGAATTGAACCTGGGACCTTTCAGTCTGCAGACCGACGCTCTATCCACTGAGCCAAACTGGTTTCGGCAAGAACTGCTGAGTTTGAATGTAATGTTTTGAGGTATATGCAAGGCTTTTTAGATCCCCCATCTGTGGTGTATGTGTAAATTTGAGTTATGTCAGAAAACAGAATGATAATTTAGTTATAATATTTAGTGAAGCCCTGCACAGCAGATACATCTGAGGTGAGTTCTTGCTAGTTTAACAGATTTATCACCAACATGTAGGCAATATTTTCCTGGTAGGGTTTTTGGAGGTCAATAATGGCCTCCAAAAGCAAGGTATTTAAGTAGGTTTAATTTACTAAGCAAGATTATTTTCTTTATCAAATAATAGATGATGAATGTTACACATAATATATATTTTTAATAAGATTTTATAATTACCTTAAAAATACTTTTCAATAACAGTGGAGTAGAGTATCCTAAATAGGTTTACAAAAGAACTTTAACAGGGAGGCTAACAATGAGCTCTGCTTTCACCAATTTAGAAATTGTAAAAGGGTTAAATTTTTTGTTTCATCCATCTGTATCAAGTTATTATTCATTTAAAATGGAATGTTAAGAGCTGAAATAAGCCTTATGAATTATTTAGATCAACTGCTTTGTTTTTAGGTGAGGAAATGGAGACTCCTGAGCGTTAAAACAATTTTCCCACCAATTTAATTAGCCATAAAAGCCAATTCTTCTCACTTCTAATCTGTACCCTTTCTTGACTTAATGCTGAATAGGATAATTCTAAAGAACCCTGATTTTTTTTGCCACTGAAAAAAAAGTTACTGCTGTTAAATTCTAGATTATCATGATTGTGATCTCTGAATGGAAGTTAAATGAGCAACTTTATAACTTTTTAATAGTTTTTTCTCTTAACATTTAATAAGCAAATATAGTCTTGAGTAGAAAATAAGGTGAAATTACTATGTGAACTTTTGTGGAATTTAAGAAAGCTGTATAAAGTGCAATAGTTTTAGAAATTGAAGTTTAAATTCTTTTATATCTTTTTTTATATATATATATTTTATTGATTTTATACAGAGAGGAAGGGAGAGAGATAGAGAGTTAGAAACATCGATGAGAGAGAGTCATCAATCAGCTGCCTCTTGCACACCCCCTACTCGGGATATGCCCGCAACCAAGGTACATGCCCTTGACCGGAATCGAACCCGGGTCCCTTCAGTCCCCAAGCTGACGCTCTATCCATTGAGCCAAACCGGTCCCGGCAAATTCTTTTATATCTTGAGTTTTAACCTGAATTGCTAAAGCCATCCTATATAATAAAAGCCTACTATGCAGATTGACTGACCAGCAGAATGATGGGCATAATGACCGGTTGCTATGATACATACTGACCACCAGCAGTGGTGGCAGGGGGTGGGGTCAGCAAGTGGGCGACGGCAGGCCAGCCAAGGTGGGTGCCAGCAGGGGAGCCCCCCTGATCATCCCACCCAGTTGCCCTCCAGAGGGAAGTGACTGGGCCGACAAGCAGGCGGCACCAAGTCAGCCAAGATGGGTGCCATTGGGGCCTTCCCAATCGCCCCACCAGTCGCCCTGCAGATCGGCCCTGGTCACCAGCCAGGCTTGGGGATACTACCCCTGTACGAATTTCGTGTACCTGGCCTCTAGTTTTATATATAAAGTTACATGTTTTTTTTTTAACCACTGTTTTGGTATGTAATTGACATATGGTATTACATTAGTTGAGGTGTACAACATAATGGTTCATTGTGTGTATACACTATGAAATTATGACCATAATAAATCTAGTTACCGTCTGTTACCATGCACAGTTACAGATGTTTTTTTCTTGTGATGAAAACTTTTAAGATTTACCATTTTAGCAACTTTAAAATGTGTAGTATAGTAGTAGTATTATGTAAGTCAACAGGCTATACATTAGCTCCTCAGAACTTATACCGTTTGACCTATATCTCTCATCTCCCCAATCCTTAGCCCCTGGAAACCACCCTTCTTTTTCTATGAGATTGGCTATTTTTTTTTTAATTCCTCATACAAGTGATACCATATAGTATTTGTCTTTCTCTGGCTTATTTCACTTAGCATAATGCCCTTCAGGTTCACTCATGTTGCTACAAATGCCAAGATTTCCTTGTGTTTTTTTGTTTTTGTTTGTTTGTTTGTTTTTAATGGGGGAATAATAATCCATTGTATATATACACAATAAATATTTTTGTGTGTGTGTTAAATTTTTTCAGCTTAGTAGTAGCTGAGGCAGTAGAGCATGTAGTTTAGAGGACATACTTCGGTCGAAAACAGATGGGTTCTAGTCTCCACTCTGGCCCATTACTTATGCGACCTTAGGCACGTTATTTAATTTCTATAGGCCTAGCATCCTCATTTGTAATGAGAATTATAACGGTATTGTGAGACTTAAATGGAGGAAAGCATGCATGGAAAAGCCTTATTTGGCAGTGCTTTACTTGGCCCTCAACTATTTTTTGGTAAGCTGTTCTTGGCACCTACAGTATACAGTGTGCTTGCTAGTCACCGGGGAGGGAGAGATGTACAGGACGTGGTAGCTGCCTCTATGGATGTTCAGTCCAGAGGCAACGGTGAAAAAGGGATTACAGAGGGATGTATAACACATGTGCACAAGTGGACATTCTGAAGTGTCTGATTTTTGTTCATTTTAAAATAAGAGTTGGTAGTGGCTTGTTTATTTCCATTAATAAACTGCCATCATCCACTTGAAAAGTAAGTACCACAGAATGAGTGACTTTGTGGCACCCAAAGAGGCAGCACAGGTGAGAAAAGTAGTGATACGAAGTAAATGCTTCAAAAATAAAACTAGAGTCAACTTGACATCTTGCCATATGTGTTACAAGGAAGCAGTGTTTGTCTCTGAGTACCGGTATTATGCATGGTCAGACAAGGCAGATGTTTTCACCTCGGCATCAGTGGTGGCAGGGCGCCAGATTTGCCCACGGTGGGTATGGAACCTGTGTTGCAGGTAGACCTCACAGCACAGGCTCCTGTGTTTCCGTTTTGGCACAACAGGTGTTTGTGCAATGTCTCCTGTCCCCAGTCACAGTCACATTTGGGAAATGTTGGCTTGGAATTTAAGAAAATAAAAGAAAAAGATATTCCCAGTTCTTCAGTTCTGTACCATATACTTGTTCATTGCTCCTATTTCATATACTTGTAAAAGGTCACAATGCAACCCCATTTCAAGTTTAAATACTTGAAATGTGATTCGCTGGTACTTTGCTAGTTTTTCAGGTCTGCGAGGATCATTTTGGGGGAGTAGACAGTCTAGGGCAGGCAACCCCTCAGAGGGGGTCACATGTCAGTTCATATGTATCCTTCTAAATTAGGGAAAGTAGCCTTGAAGTTAAATCCTAAAATGGCTGTTTCAGTATTTACTTCATGTCATATGGAAATAACAGCACTAATACCATTTCTAAAATATTCGGCATTCACATGTGAAATTATTATATTGCATATACTAAAACTTATAGACTTATAAAAAGCTAGTAGATGTATAATAGACCTTAATATAGGGCTGGTGCTTATATAGACAGAATAGCCTTGCCTTCTTCACCTTCCTGAGAGCTGGCACTGTGGTCCTCTCCTGCGGGAGGGTCTTCTGAACCACTCCATGGCCTTAGCTCTGGTTCCTAACTGAGGGAGTGTTGGGTTTATTTTCAGCAGACCCACTCAACTGAGAGCGTGGTGACCCTGCCCTTCTCCAGAACAGAGATCAGCCTCCTTCCAAATCTGGGCTCTGTCAGGGGGTGGGGAGGGGTCAGGCAAGAAGTGAAGGGAGGTAATAAGAGCTGCAGAAGCAGGGGCTTGTGGTGGGGCTTGCAGGGAGGGAGTGGTACAGAGTCAGAGAACTGGAGTGGGACTAGAGAGACAAGAAATAAAGACAAAGCTGTTGATTGATGAAACTGAGTGGGGGCAAAGGTAGGTTTACATTTTGTATGGAAAATAATAAATAATATAACAATAATGAACTGTGTTTCATGTACTCATAACTGTAAACCTATTGTTGTCCCACTAGTTTTTTGCACTAGTATATTGCACTAGTTTTTAAAAATACTGGGTATACTGGGGTGCTTTAATACCAACAACTGTTTCTACGGTTGCTACTGTTGCTTCTCCCATAGTCACTTTTACATTTGAAGTGTTCAAAACTTCATCTTGTTTTATAGATAAACACACATTAAAAGCCTTCCTTTCTTTTTTGAATAAGCAAATCATGTTTCTGTTACCAATTGGGGTTACTAGTTGGGACCTCTGTTCTTTTCGTCAACGCAGAAAAGATTTTAATGAAAATGAAAGTAAAGCAAAATGGGGTTTATTGAAGATAACAGGAGCAGGCCAGTCAAGAGAGCGAATGGCCCCAAACTCCTGGGTTAAAAGAGGGATTTTCTGAGTGGAGACTTCCATTTGCATTCAGGAATGGTTGACAGAAACTATATTTCTTCTGGACCTGTCCTTATCCATAATTCGTACAGAAAAACTCATGGGGGTGTGGGGTCAAAACTGAAATGCAGAATTGATTATAATTAGTCCAGGACCCTAGTAAGGCTGCATTGAGGTCATGTTGGTTTCTGAGCTTGTGCCAGGAGCTGACTGGCTCTGAACCTTCCTGCTGGCTGGCTGCTGGGCCACCCATGGACAGGCAGTATGGCTGGACCCCAGGGCAGGCCCCACCCCAGCTGCTCAGGTCTGACTTCCTGATTAACACTTAGAATAAAATAATCTTTCTGAGATAAAGATTCCAAAATTCTGAATATTGGCATCAATTTATTTTATTTTACTTTATTTTATTATTATTATTTTTAAAATATATTTTTTTATTGATTTTTTTACAGAGAGGAAGGGAGAGGGATAGAGAGTTAGAAACATCGGTCAGCTGCCTCCTGCACACTCCCTATTGGGTATGTGCCTGCAATCAACGTACATGCCCTCGACCGGAATCAAACCTGGGACCCTAAGTCCCTAGGCTGATGCTCTATCCACTGAGCCAAACTGGACAGGGTTATTGGCACCAGTTTAAAATCTGCTTCCCTGGATACTTATACTTTTCATAGGTACTTAGAGTAATTTTTTAGGGTGCAGTTTTATTGTGTGTGTGTGTTTTATTTTAGTGATTTCAGTTCCTAAATTCAGAGTAATTAGATATGTAGGCACGAGAGTGAGTCAGTTGGCCTGGATTATGTATGCATACTTTCATACCTGTCTCACTGGTACGAATTGTCTCTTCGATTAGTGTTCCTCGGTCTAGGGAAGTGTTCCAAGAGTCATTAAGGGACCTGTTTCTAAAGGATAAACAGGATGGATTTTAATTAAAATTGCTTTTAAATGATTTAATTGGAATATACACAAACACAAAAGGAAGTAGGTATACACTTCTTGCTCATATAGCATTTAAATAAAACCTAATCAAATTTATGACGAATTAAATACAAACAAACTCTAAAATAAATAAAACGTGGGTAGTCTAACTGAAACCACCCCCCAACTCAGTTGTTGGTGCTTGAGTTCTGAGATGTGTCCCATTCACCCTGGGGTGACTCATCCCTCTGTCTTCCTTTTAGCCGCTATTAAACCTTCATCCACCCAGAGAGCCAGGGAGGCTCCAGCACTTTCCTGGGTGCAAATGAATAACTTACCAAGGAAGACTGCTTTTCTTCTTTCTTATTATTCTTGGACAGTTAAGAATAACATTGCACCAATGCAATCATTAAAATAAATGTAAATTATATGGTGACACACCAATCTAAAGAAGTCATTAAGAATGTGTTTTCATTGATTTTGTTTAGGATATTATTTACAAAAAAAACTACAAAAATTTAAAAATCCATATGGCATTCTCAGATCTCTGAGAATAAATCTATAGTTTCCCGTTTGAGAAATACTACAGGTCAACATGATCGATATTGTTGATACTTTTGTTTGTTTCAGTTAAGTTTATGAATAATGTTTGTCATATAACCTAACAAAAATTTCCATAAGAGATGCCTGCCCCCCATTAATAAACTAGCATACCTCTTAGATATGTTTGTGTGTTTAAGTTTATTGTTATTCCCCTGCTCAAAAGCTTATTAAAATTTTATTTACCTATTGATGGAGTGTCTTCTGTAGGCCAAGCATCAGTTTAAGTGCCGAGTCAGGGACAGCTTTAAATATTTGGTTACTTTTCAGAGTAACAGGTTGTGTGTGTGTGTGTGTGTGTGTGTGTGTGTGTAAGGAAGAGATGTAACATGCTTACAAATAAATGAAATTTGCATTAACTTTACCCAGTAAAAGTAACCTCTGATATCAAGGTTTTAAAATTAGATTTATTTTATGAAAGAAAATTCTATTAATGCTGTGAATTATGGAGTTAGTGAAATGGCCTGAAATGGTCCTTTAAAAAATTGTAAAGATTGTTTTTAGTTTCTCAGTTTGTGTCCATCAAAACATTTGGTCTGTTCTATTAAAATCCAGTCAGCCATTCAAATGGGGTTAGTCCCATGGTCAAATAGTCAGATAGTTTATATGTTTTGTTATTTGTATTTCACATTTGTAGGGGGCAAAAAGTTCAGATTTTGCATTTCAAGTGAGTCTTTTTATTTTTCTTTACACAGAAGGCTAGACCATCTGTAATACAGGTAAATGATTCTTTTTAAATTTACTTGTATATTTTTCCAGCAGCATTCTCTGTGGATACTACAGTTTTGTCAATAATGTTTCATTTAGGATGCTGTAACACTTTGTTCCTACCCTTTCATCTTTGATGCCCAAGCCAAGACCAAAATGTTACAAACAGATGCTGAACTACAGATGCAGGTATCATATGTTAAAGATTATTTCCTCTTATTATGTGTTTCTTTCACCCTACACATTCTGTTGAAATTTTTACTAATAGGAGAAAGTATATTTGGATGCGTTCTATTCTAACTTTTAGCGCTATTGGAATTTTTTTTGGAATTTTATTTTGAATACAACACATATAAGTGAGTACACATTTACATAGATCAGGGATTTACAAGTGTTTTCATAAAGGACCACATAGTAAATTAAATTTTTGATCTTTATAGACCATATTTTCTATCTCAGCTCTGTCACAGAACAAAAGTAATAGACACTATTGAGTTCCGTTACAGAACAAAAAGTAATAGACACTATGTGAATGAATGAGTATGGCGGTATTCCAGTAGAACTTCATGTACACTGAAACTTAAAATTTGTATAATTTTCACATGTGGTGAAGTATTCTTCAGATCTTTTTTTCAGAATTTAAAAATGTAGAAACCACTATGAGCTCAAGAGCTTCTCAAAAACAGGCGGCAGGCTGGATTTGGTCCAGTCGTCCACTGACCCCTGATAGAGATAGATAATTAATTTTCAAGTACACATATTTATTATAAAATATAATTGGTTTTGACATGCCTACCAAGTTGTTATTTGCAAATTAGAAATTCAAATCTACCAGTTTCTACTTGTCAGTAGATATCTAACTTCACTCATCTCTCCCTTCGTCTCTCAGTCTTTCTGTCTGTTTCTCTTCTAACCTTATTTTTTCTCCTTCCTTCCTTCCTTCCTTCCTTCCTTCCTTCCTTCCTTCCTTCCTTCCTTCCTTCCTTCCTTCCTTCCTTCCTTCCACAGTTAAAAGGTTTTCCAGAGAAAATGGACATTTTTTCAAAGAATAAAAACCATTTAAAAGTGGTTACTAGGTTTCTTGTTCTGCCATTCTGAAAGTCATAGTTTTTACCCACTCTCCATCATGTTTCTTTTATTACGTATAATTTCAGTCTTATTTAGGCCTAAATCATTTTCCTGGGACTGGGTACGGATTAAACTGTTTCAGTTAACCTTTTTGGGTTCAGATTAGAAAGATACGTGTGTTTTATAAACATAGTAACCTAGACAATTTAACTGGAAAAGTTAGTAAGAGGAAAGTAAAAAAGAACAAATGGAGATGCAGTCAGCATGCTTCCCACCTACTCCGGACAGAAAGGCACAGCTGGCTGTGTTCTCGATGTGCCATTCCAGGTGGCAGTCAATGGAGCCAACCTGCAGAATGTCTTCATGCTTCTCACCTTGGAGCCTCTGCTGGCCAGAAGCCCCTTCCTGGTTCTTCACGTTCGCAGGAACAACCTCGTTGGCGATGCCCTGAGAGAGCTGAGCATTCATTCTGACATCGATCTGAAAAAGCCTCTCAAAGTGAGCCCTTCAATGTATTTCTCTAAATACCTTCCTAATTTTTCTTTCAACAGTGCTGAAGTAGCAATGGTCTTACTATTAAAATTGTGGACTGTAGCCATTCATTATTTCTTTCGTTTATTTTACAAGAATTTAATCATTTCCTGTCAAGTCACCACATAGCACATATCAGCGTAACATCAGATAAAAATGCCAGTGGATTACTTGAGAGGTTGTAAGGCTTTATTTGTCTGCTGACTTCAGTGTACCTGTTCCAGCTCTACTAAAAACAAGCAAACAACAGCAAAACTAAAAAAGCTTTAGCTAGGTATAAAACGATCAAGCCAGCATGTAGGCAGTCTGTGGGTATCAAGGATTTAAGAGAAAGAAGGTAAAAAGGAGAGTATGGAAAGGTGGTGAAATCATCTGGGAAGCTGTTGGCCTATTATAGGCACTGTTAGGACCCTAATATTACTGAATTAAGGAAATGTCTCTCCTCAAAGACTGTGCATGTTGGTGTTAGTACTTACTGTATTCCCAGGGCTTAGCATAGTGTTTGGTACATAATTTGTGTTATTAAGTATTTAGAAAATCATTTGAAATTCTAAGTAATTTGTCCTTCCCTTCAGAAGACTTCCCTGTCTCTATTAACAATCCTCTTGTAAACTCCCAGTTTTTGAAACACAGTAAGGAAGAAACTCACGGTCTTCATGATATTGTCACCCTTTCCAAAATGTCCAGTGAATAGTATCTGTCCCATCCATTTGACTGGGAGTTCTAGAACTTCTGGGTTAGATTTTTGACCCATCAGGAGCTTCTTTTTGCCCACTGTTTCCCATCAGTAGTTCAGATAAGACACTTCTTGCTCTGTAGTATGCTTGAGTTGTCTTCTGCTGCCATCTGTCCCCACCTTTACTCTTGTCCTGTTGTAGGCAACCTTGAAGACAACTACAGGATAAGCTTTCTCAAATGCTGTTTTGGTTCTGTGCCTGAGCCCTTACCTATAAAATGGTGATGATAATAGTAATACTGATGCATAAGACTGTTCTGCGGATTAGGTTCATAGAGTTTAAGTGCTGGCATATGGTAACTCGCAATAACTCTCGCTCACCAGTTTGCTGTAGTTGTTACTATGATGACCATTATGGGTTCAGCATCTCCCAAGTGGGCCTGTTTGTAGACCCTCACAGAACTCAGTTCTGTACCACTTAGAATGAATGCCCTTCTCCTTTCCATATTCAGCTTCTTTTGCTCAGGTTAATCATTGCTTTTCTCTATGTGCCAGAACATTTACCTCTCAATGTATTTTACTCTTTGAAAATAAAGTATATTCTATAATGGATTCTTTTATGTTTGCCTTACTTCCCTAAATAGATGGTAAACTTTCTGTGGACATATGGTGAACTTCTAACCTTTTTTGTATTCCTTGAAGTACCTAGTAAAAATTCTTTCTGTGTGTCTGCAAGTGCCTTGTGAATAATCAGCAGATACACCTTGCAGTTTTCATTGCATCATTGTATTCTGAGTTATATCTTCCTTCCTTTGTCCTGACTTTGGAAAGAATTTGCTAAAAAAAAAAAAAAAAAAAAAAAAAAAAAAAAAAAAGAAAAAGAAAAGAAAAGAAAGAAAGAAAAGGAAGAAAATAAAAGAAAAGTAGAATACCAAAGATTCTTTTAAGTATTAATCTGCTTTCATTGTTTTAAGGTAATCTTTGATGGTGAAGAAGCAGTGGATGCTGGTGGTGTCACAAAGGAGTTCTTTCTTTTACTGTTAAAAGAACTTTTGAATCCCATCTATGGAATGTTTACCTACTATCAAGATTCAAAACTCTTGTGGTTTTCAGATACAGTAAGTTAGTGATATTATAGTTAAACAGAAGGATGTAATTAAATGTTTATTTTAGTTGTGAGACCAGTTCCGATTAAAAAGGGAAGCATGACAAAATAATTTAAAATGTCTAAATAATGTATTTAGTCTTTATTTTTTTACACATTGGCCCTATTTTCATTTCTAGTTTTTAGAGAGAGAGGGAGAGTGATAAAGAGAGAATCATCGATGAGAGAGGAACATCATCAATCGGTTGCCTTCTGCACATCCCCCCACTGGGGATTGAGTCTGTCACGTGGGCATGTGCCCTGACTAGGAATCAAACTGGCCCGATGCTCAGCTGCTGAGCCACTCTGGTTGAGCCAAATGTGTCTTATTTTAATAACAGTGATAGTATGTGTATGAATACTAATACACGTAGATACACTCTCTCTCTCTCTCACACACACACACACACACACACACACACGCACAAACACACACACTCACACACACACACACACACACACACACTTTAATTTGAAAATTCAGTAGAAGAGGTAAGTTTTAAGGAGCATTTTAATTTCAACCAGGCTGTAATTGAGTTCTTTTTCTACCAGTTTTCTCCCTGGATCTGCACTGTCTTAAAAAGTAGCTATTAGCCACATGTGGCCATTGAAATTTAAATTTTATTTAATTAAAATTAAATAGTACCAGAGATTCATTTTCTCAGTTGGAATAGCCACATTTCCAGTGGCTACCACATTGGACAGTACAGAATAAACACTTTTTATCGTTACAAAAAGTACTGTTGCACAGAATTGCTCTAAGCGAGTATAGTGATGCGCTGCATAATGACATTTCTGTCAGTGATGGATCACATATGTGACAGTGGCCCCCTAAGATTATAATGAAGCTAAAAAATTCCTATTGTCTAGTGACATCATAGCCATTGTAGTGTAGTACAACACATTGCTTGCATTTGTGGTGATGCTGGGGTGAGCACACCTGCGCTGCAAACCCTATAAAAGAATAGCACATACAATCATGTACAGTGCATATTACTTGGTAACAATAATAAAAGATCATGTTATTGGTTTATGTAGTTCCTGCACTGTACATTTTATCATTATTTTAGAATGTACTCTTTCTACTTATAAAAAAATTTGCAGCAAAACAGTATGCTGTGTTCTTCAGGCAGCAGATTCATACATCTCATTTACTGTGTTTCTTGATTGCACATTATTTTCTCTTGTGATTGATTTAATTTCAGGTTGTTTTGTATAGTAATTGGCTGTACAGGCTTGTATTGTAGCCCAGATGTGTACGAGGCTCTGCCTTCTAGGTTTGTGTAAGTGCACGCTGTGGTGTCCGCACAAGGACAGCATCACCTGAGGCATTTCTCAGAATGAATCTCCATCATTAAGTGGCGAAGGATGTATAAGCTGTTCTATCTCCAGATGAGCTGTAAATACTTACCTTTGTTTACATCGTATCTTTTGGGGATAATCAAATTTTTGTCAGGGGAGTTTTCTCTGCTCTAAAAGATAACTAAATATTAAGAAAGCCTTTATTCTTTTATACTGAAAATATTTTGCAAATAGCAGATTGTTTTGAGGGCTGAAAACACTGAATTTCTTGTTAACATTTGCATATATTCTGAAAGTGTTTTGTAGAGCACAACTGGTTTCACCTGATTGGCATAACCTGCGGACTAGCCATCTATAACTCCACCGTGGTCGATCTCCACTTCCCACTGGCTCTCTATAAGAAGCTACTGAATGTAAATCCTGGCTTGGAGGACTTAAAGGAGCTTTCACCCACTGAAGGAAGGTACAGAGCTAAAAGACAGACAGATTGGTGTAGGAAACTGCTCTGGCTGCCTCTGGTTGCCTCTGGTAGTGTGGACTAAAGGTTGAAAATACCACAGGTGGCACAAGTGTAAGTGTGTGGAACTACCCTGTTTCCCCGAAAATAAGACAGTGTCTTATATTAATTTTTGCTCCCAAAGATGCGCTAGGTCTTATTTTCAGGGGATGTCTTATTTTTCCATGAAGAAGAATATGGTACACATTTATTGTTAAATGGAAATAAAGGAAATTTATTACCTGTATACGGTACGGTAGTACGGTAGTTGTCCAACACAAACCAGACAAACTGTGAATCCTACAGTATCAAGAATTTACTCATTTATTCAATGACAATCATGTCATCATCTTCTGGAACATCATCATAACAATCCAATTCCTGAATTTCCTGGTGAATTTCTTGTGACTCCATTTCTTTCAGAATCAGTGGACCAAATCTCTCATGTTTAGCAATATCATTCCGAGACAGAGCCTGGCCGGGGGGGGGGGGGGGGCTTATTTTTGGGGGATGCCTTATATTTCGCTCAGAAGGAAACCTGTAAGTAGGTCTTATTTTCGGAGGATGTCTTATTTTTGAGGAAACACGGTATATGGTTGTGTGTCCTTTGTCTTAAGGTTTAGCTACACAGCTACTTGCTTACCGTCTATCACTCTATGGGCAAAGGGAAAAATTTTTTAAAAACCTGCAGTTCCTCCCGCCATGGGTTTCTCTTTCCTATGTGTCTCCTTTACTCTCACACTACTGGTCACCCCATAGGTGGGGTTTTTCCTCCACACCACCGAACAGTTCTCCATGACACCAGCTGGGTGTCCTACAGTTTACGTGGGGATAATGTCAGATCCCACAGGTTAAGGCAGTGATTCTCAACCTTTCTAATGCCACGACCCTTTAATACAGTTCTTCATGTTGTGGTGACCCCCAACCATAACATTATTTTTGTTGCTACCTCACAACTGTAATTTTGCTACTGCTATGAATCATAATGTAAATATCTGTGTTTTCCTATGGTCTTAGGTGACCCTGATAGCGATTTCCCTAACTGCCCTCCCCTGCTGGCCTACTCACCGCCAACTACCCTCCCCTGCTGGTGGTGGCCATCTTGTGGTGGCCATCTTGTGTCCAGATGGAGGCAGCCATCTTTGACCACATGGGGGCAGCCACCTTTGTATGTTGGAGTGATGGTCAATTTGTATATCACTCTTTTATTAGTAAGATTATCTCCTGGAACCTTTAAAAAAGTTTGAGATATAATTCACATGCCATATAATTCACTCACTTAGAGTATACAATCCAGTGACTGTCACCACAATTGTAGAATATTTTCATCACCTAAAAAAAAACAACTTCTACTTCTTAGTCATCATCATCTCCAGTCTCCTCCTTCGAGACAATGCTAATCTTTCTATTTCTGTAGGTTTGCCTATTCTGGATATTTCATATAAATGGAATCATATAATTTATGGTTCTTTGTTCTGGCTTTTTTTCATACAGTATGTTTTCAGGGTTCATCCATATTGTAGTATATCAGTGTTTCATTTCTTTTCATTGCCAAATAATATTTCATTGTGTGAATATACTAATTTTGTTTATTCAGTTTATGAGACATTTGGCTTATTTCTATTTTTGCAATATTTTGGATAATGCTGCTTTGGACATTCTTGTCCAAGTTTTTATGTAGATATAAGTTTTTATTTCTCAGGTATATAGCTAGGAGTTGAATTGTTGAGTCACAAGGCAGCTCTGTGTTTAGCTCTTTGAGGAACTGCCAGACAGTTTCTAAAGTAGCGGAGCCATGTTTTATGTTCTTTTCTTTCTGGCTGTTAAAACTCCTTTATTCCAAGTTTCTCTGTTAATTTTAGGTAGTGTACAGTTAAGTATATAAAACAACACCATAGCCTTAGCTTTCTGTAAGCAGTGCAGTCCTTCTGGCATTATCAGGAAGGAGCACCCCTTCTACAGAGAAAGAGAACCGACTTGAAGATGGAGATGGGAGAAGGCAGTCTCTGAGGTACCCCTCTGAAATGAGACTGTCGTACCACCGGTCCAGGATACCAATAATGAGAATCCATAACCGATGGCAGGGGTGGATTCTCAGTATAGGCCACAGAGAGTGGAAAAGAAACTTTGGGAGGAATATGAAAAAATGACAGAGGAGACCAAGGCAGGGTTAATTTTTAGTGACTGAAAGAGAAGGCTAGAGAGTGATAGAACTGTGTGCCCTGATCTATACCAAATGCTGGGAATTTTCTTCCTGGCAACTCTTCATGGAACTGCCAGACTCAGAGCCCACTAAAGAAGAAAGTGTGAATGAGTTTTAGCTACAAGAATGTATTCTCTTGAAAACTAGGATATGACCATTGTTGGTGTAAATGTATTTTTATGCATATTTGAGTGTGCTTTAGTGGCAGATAGCAGAGTGTTTACCATACAGAGCTCCTTGCATTAACAAGTAAGACATTGAGATTCCTAATGGATGAGGTGACTTTGCAGCTATTTAAGAAAATTTAAGAAGGATTACTCTGCTAAAGAATGTGGTCGAAGGGACCACTCAGCACCATCTCCCCCAGTCTCTACTTCCAAGCAATATCAGGGTTAAAAGAACCTACACAAGTGTCAGATAGAATTCATTTGCATTTCTTCATTAATCGAGTAGTATTTGTCAGTAGGAAAAGAGAACAATTAATGTTTTACAGGTCTATTGCCATAATTCTTTCAAGATATGGTAACATGATTTTCTGTTGGTCTAGATTTATGTTTATTCTAGAATCTTCTTTTATAGTTTTTTCTTACAAACAGTCTTCACATGTGATTGAGATAAAAACACTATTGCCTTGTCTGATTTTCCTCTATTGACTTTTTTCTCTATTGATTTTTCTCTATTGTTCTGATTAGGAGTCTTCAAGAACTTTTAGATTACCCTGGGGAAGATATTGAGGAGACTTTCTGCCTCAACTTTACAGTAAGGATCTCCAGCTTACTTATGAGTGTGTCTGTCTCTTTCATCATGCTTATACATCATAACTAACATTAGATTTTCCTCCAAATCAAATAACAGTTCAGGGAGTTCTCTGTACCAAATTATTTAGTCATAGTATCTTAATTTCAGTAAATGTCTTAAATAAATGAATGAATAATTAAATCTCTGTCCTTAAGAAAATAACTGAAGCATTAATCCTCTTTATTTCAGATATATTTCTTTTCTAGAGTTCATATCATTTCTCTTTTATTGCATTTATTGGCAACTCCACGTCTTAAAAGAGACCTTTTAAGGTGCCAGTGTTTTCTGACTTAGGTTCTCTCTCCCCCAAGAATTTTCTGTGGTAAAAAGTAGTCACTAAGCTACATTTGTTCCTTAAATACAGATTTGTCGAGAAAGCTATGGAGTGATTGAACAGAAGAAGCTGATACCTGAGGGAGACAAAGTGACTGTGTGCAAGGATAACAGGTAAGTTCCACCTGTGACCTCTGCAGACGTTGCTGCTTTTCTTTTCTGCACTTGAAAAAAAATTATTTTATTGATTTTTTACAGAGAGGAAGGGAAAGGGATAGAGAGCTAGAAACATCGATGAGAGAGAAACATCGACCAGCTGCCTCCTGCACACCTCCTACTGAGGTTGTGCCCGCAACCAAGGTACATGCCCTTGACCAGAATCAAACCTGGACCTTTCAGTCCGCAGATGCTCTATCCACTGAGCCAAACCGGTTCCGGTGGCTTTTCTGCACTTTTAAGACCAAGATTGAAGTAAAGTTTAATCCCTTTTTTTAGAAGAAGGGGAGAGAGCAAAAAATTGCAGATGTTAATGAATTTTTAATAATAGAGGAAGCACAGGATCTGAATTCAGGAGATACCTGTTTCAATTCTAGATCTCCATCTTACTAGCTTTGACCTTAAACAAATCATATGAACTGTTTGATCTTATTATAGTTTCTCATCTGAAAAATAGAGTTATAATAACTGCCCCTCCTATCATGGGATGCTTGTGAGGCTAAAGTGAGCTAATTGATAGGAAAACATTTTGGAATGAAGGAGCTCTCGGCATCTAGCGCAGGGTTCCAGTATTCAGCAGTGCTGGGCACGCACAAAAATGCTTGAAAAATGTGTATTGAATAAATGAATGTTAAGGAGATGCTTACTGTTACTGTTGTTTTATTGCTGAAGAATTTATATTATAGATTTTAAGTTAATTAATTTCCCCCCTTATAATAATTAATTAAAGTACATAACATTATTTTTCTGGATGACTTACCATCTCTGTGTTATCTCTTTCAAGGAGAAAATTCTCAATTTGGTTTGTATTAGATTATGAGTGAGGTCACTGGCAGTTTGCATATTAATGTAGTTTACAAACTCTACTGTATGCCAGGTATGTTGGTGGGTATGGGAAATAAGTAACTTTTATCTTTGAGAAGTTCAAGATCAGTCAAGGAGGGTCAATGTTAGTGAAAGATGGCAGTAGATTACTGTGCATGTGATCGGGTAATAGGCCACGTGTCACCGAAGCGGGGGGAGAGGCTACAACATTTACATTAAACGTTGAAGAATGTGAGTGGGGGAAATATTTTAGGCATAGGGAATAATGTGAGTCAGGACTCAAGTTTGACACATGGTAGAGAATGATGAGAACTTACGTAGTGGATGGGATCTTATTGTGTGGATGGAGAGTGGGTGCTGTAATAGATTAGGAATTTGGACTGGGACATGGTTGGTCAGCTTTAGGAAGATAACTGATCATATTGAAATAGATCACATATAGGGAGACCCATGAAGAGGCTGTTGAGGTAGCTCAGGTAAGGGGTAATGAGGGCCAGAGTGAAGGTACCCGGAGGACAGAGTCAGCTATGTGCTGGTTATGTAATCACCAGGAGCTTGTGTCTGATTATATATGGACTAGAGACCCAGTGCATGAAATTTGTGCAAGAGGGGGGAGGGTGTCCAATCTGGGACCCCTCTCACAATCCAGTTCTTCTCAAGTGCACATGGGTCATTCTCAAAGGTAGACCACATGTTAGAACACAAAACAAGTCGCTACAAGTTTAAGAACATAGAAATAATATAAAGTATCTTCTTGGATCACAGTGGCATGAAACTAGAAATCGACTATAGTAAGAACAATCAAAAACATTCAAGCACATGGAGGCTAAATAGCATGTTATCAAACAATGAATGGGTTATCTATGAGATCAAGAAAAATAAATAAAAACTTCCTGGAAAGCCGAAACTAGTTTGGCTCAGTGGATAGAGCGTCGGCCTGTGGACTCAAGGGTCCCAGGTTTGATTCCAGTCAAGGGCATGTACCTTGGCAGCTGGTCGATGTTTCTCTCTCATCGATGTTTCTAGCTCTCTATCTCTCTCCCTTCCTCTCTGTAAAAAAAATCAATAAAATATATTAAAAAAACTTCCTGGAAACAAAATGAATACACAACAACCCAAAATCTATGGGACACAGCAAAAGCAGTTCTGAGAGTGAAGTTCAAAACACTATAGGCCTACTAAACACACACACACACACAAAAAAAAACACACACACAAAACAACAACAACAAAAAATCACACTCACACAAGAAAAATTATCTATTTAAAAAAATATATTATTTCATTGATTTTTTTACAGATAGGAAGGGAGAGGGATAGAGAGAAACATCAATGAGAGAGAAACATCAATCAGCTGCCTCCAGCACGCCTCCTACTAGGGATGTGCCTGCAACCACGGTAGATGGATGCCCTTGACCGAGATTGAACCTGGGACCTTTCAGTCTTGCCGATGCTCTATCCACTGAGCCAAACCATTTAGGGCAAGAAAAATTATTAATAAATTACTTATCCTTATACTTAGGGAATAAGAAAAGCCCAGAGTAAGAGGAAGGAAGGAAATAAAGATTAGAGCAGAAATAAATGACATAGAGACTAAAAAAATAATACAAAAGATCAATAAAACCAAGAGCTGGTTCTTTGAAAAGATAAATAAGATTGATGAACCTTTAGCCAGACTCATCAAGAAACAAAGAGAGAAGACCCAATTAAATAGAATCAGAAGTGAAAAGGTTGAAGTAACAACTGACACCAGAAAAATACAAAGGATTGTAAGCAAATACTATAAACAACTATATGCCAACAAGCTGGACAATGTGGATGAAATGGATAAATTCCTAGAAAAATACAGTTTCCCAAAACTGAATCAGGAAGAATCAGAAAATCTAAACAGGCCAATAACTGATGAAATTGAAGTAGTAATAAAAAAACCCAGTAAATAAAAGCCCTGAACTGGATGGCTTCACAAGGGAGTTTTACCAAACATTATCAAAGAATTAACACCCATCTTCTTCAAACAATTCAAAAGAATCCAAGAGGAAGGAACACTTCCAACCTCTTTTTTTTTTTTTTCCAGGCCAGAGTTATCCTAATCTCAAAGCCAGATAAAGACACTACGAAGAAAGAGAATTACAGGCCAATATCCCTGATAAACATAGACACTATACTCCTCAATAAAATATTAGCAAATCAGACCCAGGAATATATTAAAAAGATCAGACACCATGATCAAATGGGATTTATTCCAGGGATGCAAGGCTGGTACAATATTCACAAATCAATAAATGTGATACATCACATAAACAGATTGAAAGACAAAAATCACATGATTGTATCAATAGATGCAGAAAAAGCACTTGGCAAATCCAGCACCCATATTTGATAAAAACTCTCTGCAAAGTGGGAATAGAGGGATGGATCATGCCTCAATATATAATAAAAGCCTTATATAACAGACCATTTTTGTTCCTTCTTCATTTTAGTAAGACTATCAAACACCTTTTGTTTATCTCTCTATATATATATATATATATATATATATATATATATATATATATATATATATATTATTGATTTTGTACAGAGAGGAAGGGAGAGAGATAGAAAGCCAGAAACATCGATGAGAGAGAGTCATCGATCAGCTGCCTCTTGCACACCCCCTACCGGGGATATGCCCGCAACCAAGGTACATGCCCCTGACCGGAACCGAACCCAGGTCCCTTCAGTCCCCAAGCCGACGCTCTATCCATTGAGCCAAACCAGTCTCGGCACCTTTTGTGTTTAAAAGTTTTTTTGTGTTTTTTTTTTGCCTTTCAGATTGCTTTTTAATGATTAGGTTCCAAGGGTGAAACTGAATTAGGATATATCATTTTGAATCTGTTGATAGGTATCTTTGCTAAATTAATTTTTCTAACAAATTATATCAGCTTATTCATTATCATTCGTATATGTGAGTACCCATCTCACTAATCCTTAAAAGCTCTGATTATTTTCTAAAAAAAAAATTTGATATCATTTGTAAAATTTTATATTGCTGCTATATAGAAGTTACTTTACCTATTTACACAGCACTGATCCACTTTATTGATATTTACCTCTAAAATATTTTTGTGTGAAAAAACTGAATTAGATGGAAGTGATGATTATACAACATTGTGAATATATGAATGCCACTGAATTGTTTATTTCAAACAGTTAATTACCTTTTGTGAATTTCTACCTTAATAAGAAAAAAGTGTCCACGTGTGTGAATGAGTAAATGCATCTGTGTACACCTTGAATGTAAACTCTCAGGCAGGGAGAGCTGCTGTGCCCCATTAGGACGTGAGCATCGGCATGCTACCGTTTTCTGCAGAATTCTCTTAGAGCCCGAGTTAAATGTGTGATGCACACTGTCTTTCTGCCAGTTATTTTGAGTGTTGTTTACTAATTTCAGCCTATAGTAGATTAAAAAGGGTTGACGTATGGTAGTGTTTGACCTGCCTTGAAAGGAGGGTATCCTGCTAGATGCTATCATGCATGCTTTATGGCTTTCTGAGGAACTATTCAATAGGCACTGCAGGAAACAGAGGGTAAAGATCAACCCAGTTAGGAAGTGGTGAAAATTTCTGCCTGAGTAAAGGGGATTATAAACATGCCTGTGTCCTGGGGAAAGTGGCCAGCAGTATTCATGTTTGGTAGTTAGAAAACCCTACAGCTGAAGTCCTGTAAGTGGAAGAAAGATTGCTGCCCAGAGCACGCAGCTGGGAGTCCGAGTACTCGACCTCACTGGAGCCTTCTTCACTTAGTGCTGCCCTTTTAGGACACGTTTTTCTGCCCCAAACCGGGTTGCAGAATTTCCCCTTTCTAAAGTAGTCCGCTATGTTCTTTATGCATTTGCGATTGAGACAAAATGATTTTCATTGATTCGTATGAACTCTATTATATTAAGACTATTAAAGTCTTTGTTAGCCATATTTATTGCAGATGTTATTTCCTGTTTGTTGTTTGCTTTTGAAAATGTGTTGTTTTCAAGTCTTTATAATTTATTAATTTTTGTGTCGTGAAGTCTTTCTTTCCCTGTCTAGAAACTGATAAAATACTAATGTAATTTACTCAATTAAAAATTTGTTTGAATTTATATTCTAAGGCAAAACCTGAATTGTATCCATATTGCTAGTTTTCTTAGCTGTTCTTACAGGTGAACATTAAGGTAATTATATTAATTTGCAAATCTAGTTTGGGTTTTCATTTGAAGTGTGATAAATTAAAAGTTAATTTGGGAAGAATGGACACTTCTGTGATATTTAATCTTACCATCCTGAGGCATATTCTGATCCTAGCTGGTTTTGCTCAGTGGTTAGAGGACTGAATGTCATGCATTCAGTTCTGGTCAAGGCATGTACCTAGGCTGTGGGCTCGATCCCCAGCCCAGGTCAGGGCGCATGCAGGAGGAAACTAATCAATGTGTCTCTCCCTGTATCTCTTCCCCCTCTTTTCCATACTTCTAAAAAGTAATGGAAAAAATATTCTCAGGTGAGGAATAACAATAACAAAAAGGCCCATTCTGGTTTTTTTTTCTTTTCATATAGGTTATACATATTTTTATTAGAGGTTTTTATAAATATTTGATTTCTTATTCTATTGTGAAAGAAAGCCTTTTCTATATATTTTGAGATTAGTGCCTAGAAATAGTTATTGATTTTTGTATATTTATCTGGTAACTGATCAGACTTACACACATACACACACACACACACACACACACACACACACACACACAATACCCCCCTCCCCCCACCCCTGCTCGCTTGGACTGGCCCTAAAGGAGATAAATATTGCCTTAAGGTTTTACTCAACTATTGCCATTAGTAACAGGTCAGAGCTGCCTCCCATTCTCTAAGGTAAAGCAGTCAAATTTTGCTTCTGTGTAATTTTATCCTTTATGGGATATGGCAGAAAATGCATCTTGAGTTATAAAAATTTTTGTAAGGCTTTAAATTAGTTTTACTTCATTCAGAATGTTGAAATACCTTTTTTATATATTCACTAGGGGCCTAGTGCACAAATTTGTGCACCTTGAAAGGAACTGTGGGCTATGAATCTGCAGTGGGCAAAGAGGCGGGTCTCACCCATCCTCTGTGCCAACACTCGGCCCCTCCCACCGTAGCCCCTGGTCCCCTGTCTGCCTGCAGCTCTGCTCCTGCTGCAGCTGCTCATACCCGCTAACAGTTCAGAGCGATTTGGAATGGCCCCAGCAGCGGGTGCAAGCAGAGCTGGCGCTGTCAGTGTGTGTGAGCGGTGACTGCTGTCCCAATTGCCCCTTAGGAGCAGGGGGTGTGGTGGAGAAGGCCTCAGGGATGATTGGGGCCAGCAGCTGCTGCTCACACCCCCAGATGGCACCAAGTGGGCACAAACAGCAGCTCTGGTGCCGGCTGCAGGTGTGAGTGGGGCCATTGCTGGCAAGTGGGTGCGAGAGGCGACTGCCAGCCCTGATAGCCCCTCAGGAGGAGGGGGAGATGGAGAAGCCCTGAGGGGCAATCAGGGCCTGGCAGCCCCCACTCGCACCCGCTGATGTCAGCAGGTGCTAGTGGCAGCTCCGGCGCTGGCAGCGGGTGCAAGTGGGGCTGGCATTGGCATCAGGTGTGAGTGTCGGGTGGGACGGGCACGTGAGAGCAAAGAATTTTCAGTAACTACCAAAGGCTCTCCCTGATGGCAGTGACTGGTATCCCGCCTTGATCTGGTGCCCCCACTCCCCCTGCTCTACCATCCCGCTGCTGCCAATTCCCACCATGTTTCACACTTGCCCCTTGGTGGTCAGTGAGCAATCGGTCATAGTGACTGGTTGTTCGGTTGTTCTGCGGTTTGGTCTATTTGCATATTAGGGTTTTACATATATAAATAGATGTCACAGTCTTTTATCCTTTTTGGGAAGCAATCAAACCCTGATTTTATATTGAAACCAAACTTGTATTGGATTTCCTGTGTTTCTGTATTAAAGACTAACCTTGTTTTCTAACAATAAGGAATCATAAACAAGAATGTAATGGTGCTTATTTCCTCTCCTTCTGTAACTGGGGAGAGAATGAGGATTGAATTTATAATCACGTCTCTGTCTTTTATATAATAATAATTGATATATCTTGGGTACTTTCAGACACTGGTCTGTGGGGTTTGTATGTATTAACTCATTGTTGTCCATAATAACCATGAAGAGGGGGAGTATTGCTATCCTCTTTTATAGATGAGAAGAAAATGAACACAGATTAAATGAATTGCCCAAGGTTCATTGCTAAAAGGACGCAGAGCTGGGATTTGATGGCAGGCATTCAGAGTACCAAATCCTTTTCTTGTTTGAAAATACTGTTTTATTAACATCACAGTGGTAAACAACTTTATGCATAAATTCAAATACACACAATTCAAAATCACAAAAGAAGCTAAGAGTCTTTACATTAAATGTGTCCTTCTGAATGCACTCTATCCTCAAGCAGTAAACTTTGATTTTGCACCATTTTATATTTCATATGTCAGATTTACATACAAAATAATGAAGGCACAGCTAATATAAGCAAATGAACTTTTCTGCTTTTGAGCTGAGGGTGGGGACACACATTTAGATCGGTACTTGAAGTATGTATGTTTTCCCAAACATCAGCTTCATTGAAGAGTTCTAAAAGCTACATTTTAAAAGCTACATGACAGCCCTAGCTGGTTTGGCTCAGTGAATGGAGCATTGGCCTGCGGATTGAAGGGCCCCAGGTTCGATTCTGATAAAGGGCACATGCCTGCGTTCAATCTCTCCCTCTCCCTCCCTGAAATCAACAAAAATATTAAAATAAATAAATAAAAGCTACATGACAAAAAGATTTCACAAGGATCAAACTATGTAACACTATATGCATGTGCTTTACAGAATTTGCTACATTCTGCATTTCTTCAAGTAAATATTTCTGAAATACTAGGTAGAGGATTTAATAGTACTTAAAACATTTTTTACACCATTGTAAATAGACATTATCTGTTTATAAATAGACATTATCATGTTTATGTGTTCCTTACTGAAGGAGCACATAAACATGAGAATGCAAGTAATGAACACATGTTGGCAGTATTACATACAGGTTATACAGTCGCCTTCTCAGAACGATTTATTTCCCTAAATCCAAACATTCCGAACCTCTTTCAAATGTGAAGTGGCTGTTCCCAGGCCTCATTGGCAGTGCCATCACTGGTCTCCGCCACAGGCTTCCTGGATACCATCCCTCCTTTCTGACGTGGACAGCTGAGGTCTGGGTTACAAAAGCAAAGTCTTGTGGATGAGTGTTTTCCTTGGATTCTGCTTTTTTCTGCAGTGGAGGATTTCAGGACTAAGGAGATGGGAGAATTGAGTCCTGAGGACCGTTCCCTCTTGGCCAGGAATCCCATGTGGAGTGTGATGAAGGGCGTGATGACTGGGGGTTTCCCAGTGGTTCTTCACATCCACTTGACACCCTCCATAAGCCTTTAGTTCCCGCCCTCACAAAAGAGATCATGAGAAGAAAAATTTTTAATTGATCTCGTTTTCTCCAATGCCTTTTGAGTCATTTATTGGGTTCAAAATGAAAATCAAATTTGAAGCGGGCTGGACAGGACCAGATTGTTTCAATTTAATTTAGTTTTCGGAATGTCAGAATTGATTCATATTGTATTTTGGTCCCAAAACCTGAGCCTTTCCAAGTTCACCAATATTCCAAAGAAAAAAAAATCAGGATTTCTTTAGCTGTCATTCTCCTCTTCCATTGGTGCCTCCGCCTGTTCCTGGGCGTCATGAGGCACCCTGGAGTTGGGAGCCTCATTTTTGGCCTCCATAGGGGGCTGCTTCTCCTCCTCCTGCTCCTCCTCCTCCTCCTCGGACGCCGCCACCTCCTCCTCCTCCTCCTCCTCCCTCGCCGCCTCACCCTCCACAGTCCATGCATAGCCCTCCAGCTCACCACAGAGCTCTTGGATCTCGGCAAGCACAGGCTTGTACATTTCCTTATACTTTTGTTCCAGGGCCTGGGATTCCTTATCAAATCTGGCCTTTATCTTATCGCAGCGCTTCTGCAGTTTTTTGAGGGCCAGGACTCTGCATTTCACCGCGTTAGGCAGGTTCTCCAGAGAAGCATGTGTAGGCTTTGGCGCATTCTGTGCAGGGGTCCCCGGCCCCTCCGCACCGCACTTGGCCATGACTCCGCGGCACGCAGCCGCCCCCCTTGCCGCGCCGCCGGGTCCTCCAGCCGCAGCCCCGCCGTCCGCACAGCGTGGAGCCCTGGACTGGCTCCCTGGCGTCAGCTGATGGTCGTCCCTCCTCCCCCAACGTTCTGCGACAGCTTTTTCCTGTTGCCAACGCTATTCTGTCTTCTCCCTGGTGTTAAAACTGACGTCAGATCCCGTTACCTGGTTACCCTGTCCCCGCAGTTTGCATCTCAGTCGCTCTCAAATCCCTCAGTCTGTCAATATGTTGTCTTGGGCTTGCCTGATCTCCCTGTGGTTGGTGTGGGTCTGCCTTGTAGCTTCTCTTGGCTTACTCATGGAGTCGGCTTTGATTGGGGTTGCAGGCTTCATCCCTAGTTGGGGGCGTGAGGGGCAGCAGATCAGTGATTCTTATTGTTGTTTCTCTCTCACCCTCTCTCCTTCTCCAAAATGAATAAAAATATATTTAAAAACAAAAGACCAAAAAAACCACACTGCTGCCAGAGAAAGGGGGTGGGATGGGGGGGAGAAGGGGGTCCTAATAAATTGTGACAAGATTTGACTTTGGTGAGCACACAGCGAGACATACAGATCTTGTAACATGGAAACTCATACCTGAAACCTATACGATCATATTGACCAGTGTCACCCCAATAAACTTAATTTAAAAAACAAACCACATCACAGTACTCGTCTTCTTGTGTATGCATGTGAGAATCTTTTTGTGTCACCTGCCTGGGTCAAAGGATGTTTATGTTTTTGGTTTTGTTTTCTTCCCTTATTTTTTTTAAATTAAATTATTATCTGTGTACATATCTTACCATTGCGCCCCCAATCCCCCCATACATACCCTCTCTCCCCAGAGTTTTGTGTCCATTGGTTGTACTTATATGCATGTATACAAGTCCTTTGGTTGATCTCTTATCTCCCCCAGACCTCCTTCCTCTCCCCGCTGTAATTTGACAGTATGCTTGTTGCTTTACTGTCTCTATATCTTTTGGTTCATCAATTTATAATGCTCTTTATTATCCACAAATGAGTGAGGTCATGTGGTGTTTCTCTTTCATTGACTGGCTTATTTCACTCAGAATGATGTTCTCCAATTCCATCCAGGTTGCTGCAAATGATGAGAATTTCTTCTTTTTTATGGCAGCATAGTATTCCATTGTGTAAATGTACCATAGTTTTTTGATCCAATCATCTGCTGATGGGCACCTAGGCTGTTTCCAAATCCTAGCTATTGTAGATTGTGCTGCTATGAACATAGGGGTGCATATATCCTTTCAGATTGGTGTTTCTATAATAGATTCTTGGGATATATTCCTGGGAGTGGGATTACTGGTTCAAATGGGAGTTCCATTTTCAATTTTTTGAGGAAACTCTATACTGTTCTCCACAGTGGTTGCACCAGTCTGCATTCCCACCAGCAGTGCACGAGGGTTCCTTTTTCTCTGCAACCTCGCCAACACTTGTCATTTGTTGATTTGTTGATGTTGGCCATTCTGACAGGTGTGAGATGGTACCGCATTGTTGTTTTGATTTGCATCTCTTGGGTAATTAGTGACTTTGAGCATGTTTTCATGTGCCTCTTGGCCTTCCTTCTGTCTTCTTTTGAAAATATTCTATTTAGGTCCATTGCCCATTTTTTAATGGGGTCATTTATCTTCCTTTTATTAAGTTGTATAAGCTGTCTGTAGATGTTGGAGATTAAACCTTTATCAGTGGTAACATTTGCAAATATGTTTTCCCATACAGTGGGGCTTTCTTGTTGTTTTTGTTGATGGTTTCTTTTGCTGTAAAAAAGCTTTTTATTTTGTGGTAGTCCCATTTGTTTATTTTCTCTTTAGCTTCCATTGCCAAGGGGCAGTATCAGTGAAGAAGTTCTTTTGGCATATGTCTGAGATTTTGCTTCCTTTGGATGCCTCTAGTATTTTAATGGTTTCCCTTCTTATGTTTAAGTCCTGTATCCAGTTTGAGTTTATTTTTGTGTATGATGTAAGTTGGTGATCTAGTTTCATTCTTTTGCATGTATCTGTCCAATTTTCCCAACACCATTTATTGAAGAGACTATCTTGACTCCATTGTATATTCGTGCTTCCTTTGTCAAATATTAATTGAGCATAGTGATTTGGGTTGATATCTGGGTTCTCGATTCTATTCCATTGATCTATATGTCTGTTCTTGTGCCAGTATCAGGCTGTTTTGAAAACAGTGGCTTTGTAATACAGCTTGAAATCTGGTATTGAGAACCCTCCTACTTTACAATTCTTTCTCAGGATAGCTGTGGCTATTCGGGGTCTTTTATTGTTCCAAATGAACTTTTGGAGAATTCTTTCTAGGTCAGTGAAATATGCCGTTGGTATTTTAATGGGGAGTGCATTGAACCTATAGATTGCTTTGGGAAGTATGGACATTTTGATGATGTTGATTCTACCAATCCATGAACATGGTATGTTCTTCCATCTGTTTACATCTTCCTCTATCTCTTTTTTCAGTGTCATGTAGTTTTCTGCATATAGGTCCTTTACTTCCTTAGTTAAGTTTATTCCTAGGTATCTTAATTTTTTTGGTGCGATGGTAATAGGGATTGATTTTTTAGTCTCTGTTTCTGTAAGTTCACTGTTGGTGTATAGAAATGCCATAGATTTTTTGGCATTAATTTTGTATCCTGCTACATTGCCAAATTCATTTATTAAGCCAATTAGTTTTTTGATGGAGTCTTTTGGTTTTTTTTATGTACAATATCATGTCATCTGCAAATAAAGATAACTTTACTTCTTCTTTTCCAATTTGGATGCCTTTTATTTCCTCCTCTTGTCTAATTGCAATGGCTAGTACTTCCAGTACTATGTCAAACAGGAGTGGTGAGAGTGGGCATCCCTGTCTTGTTCCTGTTCTTAGAGGGAACGGTTTTAGTTTTTGCCCATTGAGTATGATGTTGGCTGTGGGCTTATCATATATAGCTTTTATTATGTTGAGGTATGATCCTTGTACTCCCACCTTGTTGAGAGTTTTTATCAGGAAAGGGTGTTGGATTTTATCATATGCTTTTTCTGCATCAATTGATATGACTGTGACTTTTATCTTTCAGTTTGTTTATGTGATGTATCACGTTTTATTGATTTGCGGATATTGTACCATCCTTGCATTCCTGGAATAAATCCTACTTGGTCATGGTGTATGATCTTTCTGATGTTCTGCTGGAGCCGATTTGCTAGAATTTTGTTGAGGGTTTTGGCATCTATTTTCATGAGGGATATTGGCCTGTAATTCTCTTTCGTTGAGTTGTCTTTATCTGGTTTTGGTATTAGGGTGATACTGGCTTCATAGAAGGAGTTTGGAAGTGTTCCTTCCTCTTTAATTTTTCAGGATAGGTTTTAATTCTTCCTTGAATGTTTGGTAAAACTCTCCTGTGAAGCCATCTGGTCCTGGGCTTTTGTTTGCTGGAAGCTTTTTGATGACTGTTTCAATTTCTTCCCAAGTCACTGGTCTATTGAGATTTTTAGATTCTTCCTGATTGAGTTTTGGAAGGTTGTATTTTTCTAGGAATATGTCCATTTCCTCCAGGTTGTTCAGTTTGTTGGAATAGAGTTGTTCGTAGTATTTTGTAACAATCCTTTGTATTTCGGCAGGGTCTGTTGTTATTTCACCTCTTTCATTTATGATTTTGTTTATTTGAGTCCTCTCTCTTTGTTTCTTGGTTAGCCTGGCTAGAGGTTCATCAATCTTGTTTATCCTTTCAAAGAACTAGCTCTTGGTTTTGTTGATCTTATGTATTGTTTCTTTGGTCTCTATGTTGTTTATCTCTGCTCTGATTTTTATTATTTCCTTCCTTCTGCTTACACTGGGCTTTTCTTGTTGCTCTTTTTCTAAATCTTTAAATTGTCGAGTTAGATAATTTGTTACCATCTTTTCTTGTTTTGCTTTGTTTTTTTTTGCCATAAGCTTGTAGGGATATGAACTTCCCTCTCAAAACTGCTTTTGCTGTGTCCCATAGATTTTGAATTGTTGTGTTTTCATTGCCATTTGTTTCCAGGATGTTTTTAATTTCTTCCTTGATTTCTCTGATAACCCAGTCTTTGTTTAATAGCATGCTGTGTAGTCTCCATGTGTTTGATTTCTTTAGATTATTTTTATTGTAGTTAATTTCCAGTTTTATGCCACTATGATCTGAGAAGATGTTTGATATGATTTCTATCTTCTTGAATTTGAAGAGACTTTGCCTATGTCCCAACATGTGGTCTATCTTTGAAAATGACCCATGTGCACTTGAGAAGAATGTATATTCTGTGGCTTTGGAATGGAATGTTCTGAAGATGTCGATTAATTCCATCTGGTCTAGTGAGTCATTTAGGATTGATTTCTTTGCTGATTTTTTGTTTAGATGATTTGTCCAAAGGTGATAGTGGGGTATTAAAATCTCCTAATATGATTGTATTGCTATTAATCTCTCCCTTAATGTCCTCCAGCAGTTTTTTTTATGTATTTGAGTGCTCCCGTATTGAGTGCATATATATTTTCCAGGGTTATTTCTTCTTGTTGGATTGCTCCCTTTAATATTATGAGGTGGCCTTCATTATCTCTTGTTATGTTCTTCATTCTGAGATATAATTTGTCAGATATCAGTATTGCTACCCCAGCTTTTTTTTCATTTCCATTCGCCTGGAAAACCTTTTCCCACCCCTTCACCCTCAATCTGTGTGTGTCTACAAGTGGGTTTCTTGTAGACAGCAGATATATGGGTCTTGTTTTCTTATCCAATCTGTTACCCTATGTCTTTTGATTGGAGTATTTAATGCATTTACATTTAAAGTTATTATTGATAGGTACTCATTTGACGCCATTTTTATTCTATATCCCTGTGTTCCTTCTTCGCTTCCTATTTCTTTATTTTTACAGTAGACCCTTTAACATTTCTTGCATTGTTGGTTTGGTGGAGATAAATTCCTTTAGTCTTTTTTTGTCTGTGAAGCTCCTGATTTCATCTTTAATTTTGATTGATAGCCTTGCTGGGTACAGTATTCTTGGATTCAGACCCTTCCTTTGCATGACTTTGTATATTTCATCCCATTCTCTTGACCTGATGAGTTTTTGTTGAGAAATCAGTTGCTAGTCTGATGGGGATTCCTTTATATGTAACTTTCTATCTCTCTCTGGCTGCTTTTAAGATTCTTACTTTGTTGTTGATGTCTGCCAATTTAATTATGATGTCCCTTGGCGTCGCTCTTTTGGGATTCATTTTGCTTGGGACTCTGTGAGCATCTTGGATTTGTGTGGGTTTTTCTTCTCTATCTCAGGAAAGTTTTCTGTCATTATTTCTTGAAATACGTTTTCCATGTGTTCCTCAGTTTCCTTTCATCTGGAACCCCTATTATTCTAATATTGTTTTGTTTTGTATTGTCCCAAAGTTCCCTTAGGCTCTCCTCCTGCTTTTTAATTTTTTTCCCCAGAAGCTGCTCTAATTGGGTATTTTTTTCCATCTTGTCTTCTAGCTCACTGATGCGGTCCTCTGCTTCTTCTAGTCTACTCTTGATGCTTTCTATTGAGTTCTTTACAGTAGTGATGTCATTTTCAGTTCTTCTTGGTTCTTCATTTCCTCTTTGTTCTTACTCATATTGTCAAATTTGTCTTCCATTCTTTTTAGCCATCTTATGATCATTACTCTAAATTTTTGCTCTCTAGGTTGCTTGCTTCTAACTCATTTACTTCCTTTTCTGGTGATGCCTGCTTTTCTTTCATATGCGGGCTGTTTCTTTGTCTCCCCATGATCTCTCTTTTCAGGATGTCTAGTTATGTAGTTCTCTCTCTTCTGCTTTGATTTAAAGATACAAAATAAAACACAACCAGGTACAACACACAAGGCACTGAACAGAAATGTGTTTGTGATATTAATAACCTCCAATAAAGGTGACTAGAACCCAGCTAACAAAAACATACAATCAAACAAAAAGAATAAGCAAACCAATCTAACAAAAAAAGCATAAAACTTCAACATTCAACTACAAAGGAATAGAGAGAGACTGGTTTTTGTTCGTTTTTTTTAGGACAGCGACAAGGGAGGTGTGAATGGGCTTGGAGCAGGGGGTTGGAATTTAGATATACACAAGTAGGGTGAAATTTTAGGAGGAGGTAAACAGAAAGAATAAGGAAAATCTAGAGCAGGAAAGGGTTAAGATAATAAAGACACCAAAGGGAAAAGGTTAGGAAGAGAGTGATGGCATGAAGGTAGGGTTGAGATAGAATAAAGTGTTGGAGAAGGAAAGATAAATATAGACTGTAGAACACTAATCCTGAAGTTAAAAAAAAAAAAAGCAAATAATATGACACTTAAAAAACAAAACAAAAGAAAATAAGATAAAAAATGTAAAATAGTAGTAGTAATAATGTTGATTACATATAAAATGTAATAATTAAAAAGGTAAAATCAAGTGAGGAAAAAAGGAAGAAAAAATAGAAAACAAAAATTAAACAATTAAAAAATAAAAATAAAAAATTAAATAAAATTTGCAGTAATGAAGGTCATTCACTTCCTCTATCGTTCTGTTTGGCACACCTGTTTCCCAGTCCGGGCAGTATTGCAGTTCCCTGCATTTCACTGCTCCTCAGTGTTGTAGGCCGGTCCTGATTTTTAAGCAGGTCTTGCTTTGATTTTTTTTATTACACTAGGGTCAATTTGTGATTTAGCCTCTGGGTGGCAGTGTTTCTGGGTTGACTTCCAGGGCTCTAAAGCCTTCTACTTGTAAACGCCGCACCTGTCCTCCAGTTTCCGTTCGCGGGCTTCTGTCTTCTTCGGGAGCACTCACCCTCTCCCCGTGAAGTCTGACCTTTTCGCCGTGCGGTGGGGCGCTCTTGTGAGTCCAAGTGTTCCTGCTGCCCGGGATCAGTGTTCTGTGGCTCACAGCTGCTTGGTGGTCGCTGCGGCTGTGGATATCCAGGCCTCTGACACGATCCAATTTCCCTTCAAGATGGCGAGATTTCCCCCGTCCAAGCCCCTAGGTAGCTCCTGGAGGGCACCCAGCCCCGCCATGGGTGCTTCCCTGTCAGGGGCATCCTGATCAGCAGACCCCCAGTTTCTTCTGGTGTCAGCTGTCTCTTGGCTTGCTAATAAACACTCACAGAACGGGACCTTCAGCTGCTCGCTCTTTCTGCTTCGGGACAAGGCTCAGAATCCGCCCATCTATTCTTCCGCCATTTTTCAAGGGTAGTCAGATGTTTATGTTTTAACTTATTTGGGCTATTGGCCACTTTTTCTCCTAGGTGTTTAGAGGCCTCATTTCACAGTGTACATTCTCACTAGGGAGAGAAGGAAAGAACTCTCACCTGCCACTGCCTGCTCAGGAAAGCCAGCCCCTAGTCTGCATTAGCAGCCAGCTTGCCGTCTCTCAGTAACTCCTGGAACAGTCAGCCCCAAATGGCCAGCACTGGGCAGCTCCTTCCAACTTAGGACCAATCAGAAAAAAAGCAAAACGTCACTGAGAGAGTAGATCTTACAAATTTCTTATCCCAAGGGGAGAAACAATTTGTAACTATGTATGGCAGTGGATATTATCTAGAATGATTATGGAATCATCCTGTTGTATATCTGAAGCTAAAGTTAAATGTTGATTATACCTTAACACCCCTCTTCCCCATAACAGAGAAGCAGCAGCACATGCTTCTCTGACCGATCACATGGGATGCCCGCTTCTAGTTAGCCCAGCACAGCCTCTCCATGCCAGCAGCCTCCGGCCAGGGCACAGCTGAAGCCTCCTCTTTTTCCACTCTGAAGCTCTCCCACCTTCGGCCTGCTTTTGAGTCTCTGCCAAAACATAAATGACTCCTTTGCTATAGCAACTTCTGAATAAACTGCCTTGGCTTTTCACGATTTTTTGTTTATTTCTATGTGCTTCCCATTGTTATTTCATACCTCTTCTTCCCACTAGCTGTGTATGAGGTTCCTGTTTCCCCACATCTTTACCCATCACAGCCATATTCTCTGTCTTTTCAGCTTATGCCGGTCCAGTGGGTGAAATGGGAATTCACTGTTGTTTTTTCGTTTGACTGGCTGTTATTAGTGAGATGGAGTCACTGTATGACAAGCTCTTTGCAGGGATGATGAAGAGATTTACAGAAAGGAGTTACGATCTCATCTGTGAGCTTCTTGTGTATAGTAAAAGTGAGAAGAGAGATTTCTGGGGGCATTTTATATACGTCTGTGAAGGAAAAAAGAGAGTTATGACACTACCTTTAAGATATAAGAGGATACAAATATCAGACAGTTTAGCTTTGTTTTTGAAAAGGGGAAGGAGTGAGAAGAGAAATTTCTGGGGGCATTTTATATACGTCTGTGAAGGAAAAAAGAGAGTTATGACACTACCTTTAAGATATAAGAGGATACAAATATCGGACAGTTTAGCTTTGTTTTTGAAGAGGGGAAGGAGTGAGAACCATCATCCTAGATTTTTTTCTTTTAGCAGAAAAAGTCTTTTTTTTCCCTAAAATAAATTTTAAGCATAAACAAATTTTCTAAAATAAATTTTCACCATAAACAAGGTGAAAACTGGAGTATGGCTCCACCTGCATGTCCTACCACCAGGTCACCTGACACTTGGGCGGAACCCTGGGGCTGGACACTAACCTTCCTTAGGAGCCTGCTGCTGTGAGAATCGAGAGGAACTCCGTTTTCATCACTCCCCACCTCAGTGTGAAAGGGGAACTGGGTAAATCCTACAGACTTTGGGCTGACACGTGCTGTTTCTGTGGCTTTCTGGCAGGCAGGAATTTGTGGATGCTTACGTGAACTACATCTTCCAGCTCTCCGTTCACGAATGGTACACAGCGTTTTCCAGTGGCTTCCTCAAGGTGTGTGGTGGCAAAGTGCTTGAGCTCTTCCAGCCTTCGGAACTAAGAGCCATGATGGTGGGGAACAGCAACTACAACTGGGAGGAGCTGGAGGAGGTAAGCGTTTTCCTCTCCAGTGGCCTGGGGGACTGTGCCCAGAGCTCGGTCTTCTTCCAGGGGCAGGGTTTGGACGTGTCCTGCGTCTTAGAGATTAGTTCTTACTCCTAAATGCATGTGGTACATACAGTGCCCACCACAACCTTCTTTTCTCTAAGATACAGTTTTTCCTTCTTGTCTTTTGGGGCAGACTGCCATCTACAAGGGAGATTACTCAGCCACACATCCCACTGTGAAACTATTTTGGGAAACATTTCATGAGTTTCCACTGGAAAAGAAGAAGAAGTTTCTCTGTAAGTATCAGGGTTCTCAGTATGGTACTCATCAGGTATTAGTTTTGGGTGTGGTGTAGGACATACTCCACAAATAAGATTCTCTTTCAAGGGGCAAACAGTTAATAAATGTTTATACTTTTGTCTTGATATCTCAGGCACAATATATTAATTCCTAGTTGTTGCTCTGAAAACATTTACTTTTCTTATATTAGTTATTCCTTTAAGTATCATGTTGGTGAAATCGAATCATTTGGATTAATTTGCCGTATCTGTCTAGCCTTTTGAAAATATTACAAAATGTCTATTGCCTTTGTAACTCGGGAGGTGTGATGTATATTAGCTTTTCAATCGTGGTATAATTCACATACCATACAGTTCACCCATGTAAAGTATACAACTCAATGGTTCTTCAGTGTGTTCACTGGGTTGTGAAACGATCCATTTTAGAACATGTTCGTCACTGCAAGGAGGAACCCACGCTCAGTAGCAATCGTCCCCCATTTCCTCCTCCCCCCCCCCCCCCCCCGCCACCTCAGCCATCTGTCTCCTGTCTGTGGAGGTGCCTTTTCTGGACATCTCATGTAAAGGGAATGATACAGCCTATGGTCCTCTCTGACTGCCTGGCTGACCCTGGAGAAGGGGAATACATTTGGAAAGGAACATGAGCTCTGGTTTACGTGAACAAACGCAGCCTTTAAAAAATACTTGACATCTTTGCGTCAGTGTATAATCAAGGACAGAAATTAGCCAGTGAATAGCATAGAATTCTTACTCATAGAAAACCAAAAAGGAGGGTTTGAAAGGTCCTTTCTTTTCCTTTACATGCATGAGCATTTGTTAATATTAGTGATGTGCACATTGGCACATAAAAGCAGTGGTACTTCTCCCCCGAGCCACAGGGTGTCACACTTTCCTCCCTGTTCCCTGGAGGACGGCCGAGAGCGGCTCCCCGTTGGCAGAGCTAGTCATGCCGGTTCCCTTTCTCCGCAGTGTTCCTGACGGGCAGCGATCGGATCCCCATCTATGGCATGGCGAGCCTGCAGATTGTCATCCAGTCCACGGCCAGCGGGGAGGAGTACTTGCCTGTGGCCCACACTTGCTATAACCTCCTCGATCTCCCCAAATACAGCAGCAAAGAGATCCTGAGGGCGCGGCTGACCCAGGCCTTGGACAACTACGAGGGCTTCAGTTTGGCCTGAGGCCCCGGCTTGCCCCAGATCCCCCTCCTTCCTCGGTGTGCACATGGAGGCCTATACAGAAAATCATGGGGAGTGAGCTCTATTTTTTTATTGCATACGTGTGTGGGGACTTTTGAATCCTGAACCTGGTTGATGTGTTTCTGGGGTTGTATGCAGTCAGAAACCTTCTTGAGAAGTCGGGGGTCGGGGGATGGGTGAAAAATTGGCTGTTGTATAAGAGGGTGTTTTTGTTTTTAAACCAAATGACGGAGTGCTCCTTGCACTCGTGAATATGTTGCACTCCGCTGGATGCAATGGCAGCGGTTCTTAAATTCTCATTCCCCAAATGTCTCTCTCAGCTCTGGTCTTTCCTTACAGTGCTTCCTCTTCCTTCTCTTAACATCTCATTCCTTCGCACGAGTGGTTTTAACTGATCTGTCCTTTCCTACTGGCACACACAGACTGTCTCCTCTCCCTGGCTTGTCGCAGCCCTATTCTAAGGACTAGGAGGAAAGGGCTACTTCAGAAACTCCCACTTCCAGCTCACTGAGTGCGGGTCCATTACTTGGCTGAACTCTTGAGAATTCAAGGGAGCCTTTATGAACACATTTTGCTTAAAAAAAAAAAAAAGTTTTGAGGGATTAGCAAACTCCTTCTGGCTCTCCCTGTCCTTAAAGAAGTGCAGAGTAGCTTAGAGTGGCAGCTGAGCTTAATTTATTTTGTTGCTCAGCCAAATTCCTTCTGACAGGAAGGTGAGGTGATTAAGTTTTTTTTAGAGTTTCTTCTCTAAGAAAAGTAAAAATAATGAATTTCTTGTTCTGTCCTCTACCACTGTCTGTTTCCTCCCTCCTGTCTTTTTCCCTTTCCTACCCTTCCCTTACTACTTTTTCTTTCACTTCATCTCATTCTGTTACCCGACTTATGCTCCCTTCCTCCCCTCTCCTAATGGATGCCTGTGGTCTATTTTTTTATTCCTATTTAAATTGCAAAATTTCTATTCAGATTTCCCCCCCTCTTCCCTAATTGCTAAGACTTAAGGATGTTCTTTATGCTGGAACTTTTGTTTATTGCATTTGAAATGTTTGTTTACAGTGGGATTGGGGGGACGATTGCGTTGAAAGCAGATATATGTATCTCAAACATCATGACATGTTCAACCTTCTTCCGTGTGGGATAGGAAAATTCTACATGGTCAAAGAATCCATGTGAACCTGATTTTAAATGCCTAGTCACTAGAGAAAGACTTATTTATATAAAATGAAGTATTTATGAATCTTGATATAGCATCAAATCTCAATGAAGGATTGTAGATTTTTGATTTTGTTTTTCTGTTTTTAAAATGTATTCCAATTGCTAAATTGGTAGTTTTTTCAGTCTTTATAATACAAGGTTAAAAAGAAGATATACAGTTATATGAAATGTTTATTTTCTATGTGTGTGCATATAGTTCAATATTATGCAATAAATTTGGTGTTTTAACTTAAAACTATTTCTTATTGTACTTGCAGAATGGGTAGCTTGCTTTCAGTAGAAACACTAAGTCATCTACCCAAATGATCTAATAGCAGGCGCCAGAGAAATGGAGAAAAAAGCAGTGCTGGTGGGGGTGGTGGGCAGAGGACGCGGAGGGCGAATAGCAGTTCTGAGGGCTGGGAGGGATGAGAGCTCTCCCCATGCGGGGGAAGACCTGTGCAAAGGCTTGCGCATGGGGCCGTGTCTAGGGAAGCACAGGAATAACCTGGAGACAGCATCAGAGGAAACAGGAAAACAACGGGAAGGAAGACTGGGGAGAAAGAAGGTATGTTCGAGGTCAAGGAACAGGGCTAAACACTGGAGCGTTAGTTGACAGTAAAGTAGGATTTGTTAAACTGTTCATAACCCTGGGGTGAGGCTGGAGGCAGTGACCTGACTTGAGCTTGATTTTAAGAAGAAAGATGTGGCATGAGAGACAGTTAGGAAATGGAGTGGGAAGAGCAGGACAGAAAGAGCACCTGAGAGCAGTGAAGGTGGCGGCCGTGCAAACAAAAGAAATGGGGATGTTCGGTAGATTTAGATTTAAAAACCAATTCTACTGTATCATTTTGCCAGATTTAAGAGATGGTTTAAAGAGGTGGTCAAAAGAATAGTAGGTTCTCATTATTAAGTTCCATTCAACAAACATGTAATAGTATAAGTAAATGCTAATTTTGAGGGGCACAAAAAGCCGGATGCATTTAATTTTGAATGGAACTAGCCAAGTTATTTTAAGTTTCTGGGCCTTGGAATCCTCAAACGTGAAGTAAGGGGATTGGACCTGATAATTTCTAAGGTCCCTTTGAGCTCTACATTTACAACCCGGAGAACAGTGCCTGCTCACAGAGATGCCCAATAAACAAACAATCCTGAACATCTGTGGCGTGAGTGATGTTCTGTGCTGCTTCCAAAACACTGATTTTCCTGGGGTATTTTCTCTTTTTCCTTCATCATCTACTGTTTTAGAAGACTTGTCATCATAACTGGATTCACTTGCCCACCTTCCTTCCCTCTGCAAATGTTTTGGCGTTTCTTCACTGTTTCAGTCATCTACTAATTTAATGAAACTGCTTGGCAACTGAACGTGTAACCTAGGCAGTTCAGTAAATTCTCATCACTGCATCTACTCCCCATGAAACCTTCTCATGACACACTGCTTCTCTATGAAACCTGGAGATAAGGGGTTGGAAAACTATAGCCCATAAGCTATAGTTTAACATTATTTAAAGGGTTGACCTTTTTTTTTTTTAAAGGAAGGGTAGGGTCAAGGGCAAGGGTGGGCTAAAGGGGGTTATAGGAGGGGGGGCATATGTAATACTTACAACAATAAGAATTATTAATTAAAATACATACATAAAAAGGATGGATATGTGACAAAACCAACAGGCAGCACAGCCGCTGTGGACACCACAGATCTCACCAGCTTCCACCCCACAGCTGTTAGTGTTCACGGCCATTGACCGCCTGAGTCTCCCTTCCCACCTCAGCCCCCTCTGGCTCCTGCTGGATATCAGGAACTGCACCGCCAGCCAGTCCAGACTTCTGCAGCTACGCATGTGTTAGAAGATATCAGCCTAGATTCCCACGCTGGCCCCCACTGCCAGGCATGCCCGTGGGGCTGTCCCTCAGCTAGGTATCGCATGCCACCAACCTCACACCTGCTACTGGCCTCCATTGCCATGCACAGCCCCTGAGGAGACTGTGTAGCAATGGGAGGGAGCCCTGTACCTGCTTTTGGATCGGGATCAGGCCCTGTCTTCTGTCACTGGCCTGTAACTTTGTGCTTACCCACAGCTAGTCCTTCCCGCTCACCCCTCGCCTGATCCCCATTACCAGCCCCAACTCCCAAATGCCTGTGGCCACACCCGGCAGCCACGGTGGTGCACGCCAACAGCCAGAGCCCCTGCAGCTGCCAGGGGCCCACAGTCGGCCTCAGCCCTGCACTGCTGTCCACTACTGCATGTGTCTCTGCTACTGGATGTTGCTACTTCATAGGCACCTGTAGCTGGCCCCACGGCTAAGTGTGTGCACGTCACTGGCTCTGGTCAGCCACCCCTTCTCCATTCTGGTCCCTAGCTGCTGGGCCTGGAAGTGCTGTTAAGGACCCCAACAGCTAGTGCAGCCTCTAAGGACTCCTCACAGTGCTTATCAAGGATCACACAGTTGATGTTGTACCCTCCAGCGACCTGAATCAGTGATGACATCCCTCCCACCCCGGTCCTGGCCCCATTGCTACCATACGTTCCTTCACTTGGTGCCGTTCACCACTAGGTCCGGGGTCCCAGGGAGCAGTGATAGTCTTCCTTTACCAAAGTCAGTTCATAGAGCCTAGTGAGGTGACCCCTTCAAATGCACAGACACTTAGCACCGTGTACAGGAATCATGAAGAATCAGAGAAACATTCCCACCCACGGAATAAAGGGAATCTCCAGGACTTGGCTCCAAAGAGATGGAGATCCAGGAATTTTCTGACAATAATTCAAAATAATTGTTCTAAAGATGATCAGAGAACTAGTAGAGAATACAAACAATTTAATAGTACCTGGAAAATAATACAAGAACAAAATGAGAAATACAAAAAATAAATAAATAAATAAATAAATAAATAAATAAATAAATAAAAACACAAAAGAGATGCAAACTTTGGAGCCAAAGAATACAATGACTGAGCCGGCCCTTGTGTCTCAATGGTTGAGCTTTGACCCAGGAACCAGGAGGTCCTGGTTCCGTTCCCGGCCAGAGCACATGCTCCAGGTGCAGGCTTGATTCCAGGTGGGGGCCTGTGGAAGGCAGACAATAATTCTCATCGCTCTCCCCCTACCTCTCTGAAATCAATAGAAGTATACCTTAAAATAAAATTAAAAACCTCTAGTTTGTGTTAAAAAGAATACAATGATGGGAAAATTCAATGGAGAGCTTCACCACAAGACTTGAACAAGCAAAAGAATCTGTGAACTTTAAGATAGATCACTTGAAATTATCCACTTGGAGTGGAAAAGAAAATGAAAAGGAATAAAAAAGACCAACAGGACTTATGGGACACCATTAAGAAAAACAATGAGGAGATCATTGGAGTCACAGAGAAGCAAGCAGAAAGGGCTAGAAAGCTTATCTAAATACATAATGGCTGAGAACATCTCAAACCTGGGAGAGATTTGAGTATAAAAGGCACAAAGCCGAGAGGAGCTGGTCATCAGGAGGAAGAGAGTAGGCTCGCGTGTCTTCAGAAAAGAGGAAAATTCTCCCGGGGATTAGATGGAGGAGTTCTCGGAGGGCAGTGACATAGAAGTGACCGGGCTTTTGGTAAAGAGGGGTTAGTTAACGGCACGAGAGCAGAGCCTTGTGAAAGATGTGGCAACTGTTGGTTTTGGACCACAAGCCTCTGCTTTGGGATGCTAACCCAGGCTGGCTCAAACGTAGGCAGGACCTGAGTCAGGTGTGGGCTGGTGTTTCCATCTCGGCTGCCATTTGCCTGTGCCCAGAATATGCAACTGAAGAGCAACTAGAGGAGGGGGGCTGCCCCATTGAGGGCAGACTCTTTGGATCTGCATTAATAACAGCTTGTCCTCCCGGTTAGCTAATCCTCCCATAAGTAATGGAGCATGCCCTCCTGAATCTGTGGCTGGTGCAGAGAAAATTAGTCCAGACATCACCTTTTATTTTTTTCGTTCGTATGTGGCTGGATGCTTGGCTGGGTGCACAGTCACATGGTCTTCGGAAGCTGATCTCCCGGTGCCTAATTCCAGGGGAGTTGGATGCAGTCTATGCTATTTACTGATTCCGATCCCACTGGTGGTGTTGAGCTTCCTGAGAAATGTAAGAATTAAAACACAGACACACTGCTCAGATGGAGGCGAACACCAACAGACTAGCCTCTCCCCTTCTCTTTAGGGTTAGAAGGAAAAGAAAGCCAGATGACACCCCCAGCAATAACCTCCTCCTGGGGTCCTGAGAGGCCAGGGCTCTTGCGGGCAAAGGTCAACAGCAAGTGCCAACTAGGGACTGGCTCCTGGTCCCAGCAGGACACTGTGACATTGCCAGAGGCTTCTTGTTGTTAAAAACGGGTTTCCTGACCTTTCGTGCCTGGGCACCCGCACAGCTCAGATGTTTGTGCAGCAGGCTCAAGGACTCTCAAGTTCAAGTCCCTGGCAGACTGGAGAGGAGACGTGGGATTTCAGAATTTCCAAGGAAGGGGGCAGGGCCTCATTCAAGGAGACTCAAGTCATTGGAACCTGAAGCTTGCCCAGTAGCTGGCCTAAGCAGTGATACCTTTAGTCCCTGTTCCTTCTCCTTCCCCAACCCTGGGGGGAAGGGAGGGGAGAAGGGGACTAACGAGGGACCCCGGGTACTCTCCCAGTCTCAGCCTTGCCCACAAACTTGATGTGCTTTGGCATGCTAATTAGGAGCTTTGCAAAAGCAGAGCAAAGCTCTCCTCCCTAGGGTAAGCCTTGTTTTTAGTTGCTTAAAAATATAACCCGAGACAGAAATTTCAGGACACCAAGTGACCCAGAAATCAGCTCAGAGGTTATTCTGTTCCCTCACTCCCCAGAACACAGGCATTCCCACAGGGCCTCAGCGGCGGGTGCCGGTAGCTCGTTCTTGTTACGGGTGCGAGCAGATCTGGACCTCCCACGATGCTTTTGGGGAGAAGCAGAGGTCTTTCTGAGAAAGCTACACACAGGTTTTGATGCAACCATTACTATTAATAGTCACCATTTCGCTACCCACCCCCCACTCCCTGGAGAGAATGGGTCAGTGATCTCATAAAACCTTGCTTACCCTGTTAGCACTAATTTGTTCTTAAAATGTGAGAGGTGCATTCTGACTTACACAAAGAATTGAAAGGTGATGGTGAGGGAAACAAAGGGTTCAGCATTCTGGAGAAAGGGGCTGCAGGTAGATGATTTCTTTTTTTTTTTTTTTTAATGTAGTATTTTATTGATTTTTTTACAGAGGGGAAGAAAGAGGGACAGA